TAGTCAGGTAGAAATGGCTATGGCCTCTAGTTACAGAATCCTGTCAGTGAATAAGCTCAAAAGTTTGAATTCGAATAGTATGGATACTCCTCAGTTTAATCTTCATTTCCAAAAATAAGTGGGTTCAGGGCCCTGTCCCGTATCAGGGCCTGGACCCTAAATGAAGCTAATGGGCTAGAACTATCAAGGTATTGGATCCACATTGACAATTCGTGCCCTTAAAGAGATCCTAACAAAAGAAAAACTTGATTCTTTTTCTAGCATAAACAAAAAGAAATTTGGTCAATTGTAGAAAAAGTTTGAAAGTTCCAAGAGAATGGAATTGTTGGGGTGTGGATTCTAGGGGGCTCAGTGGTGGTTTGGCCTTTTTTGGAAACAAGATCTTAAGGTTAAAGTGCTATTTGCATATTAAAACTTCATTCACACAAAAATAAGAGATGTTTCAGGAGCAGACTGGTGTTGCACCTTTGTTTATGGGGAGCCAAGGAAAGAGAAAAAGGGTGCTTTCTTGCTAAAAGGGAAAGCTTTAACCGAAAGAACAAAAGAACCTTGGCTTTGTGTAGGGGACCTAAATTTGATTTTTTTTTTTTTACCAAAATGAGAAAGAGGGAGGTAGATTGTTTATCCAAGCTCTACTGCAAAGAAACAGAGATTTTCTAGTAGATTGCAATTTACACATGGGGAGTAAAGGGCCTTGGTTTACCTGGCCTAATAAAAGAAAAGGAACTAATATTATCAAAGCCAAATTAGATAGAGCTCTATGTAATAAAAGCTGGAAAGACGGATTTGAGGAGGCTATAAGCAGTGTAATTTATTGCTTAGGTTATATCATTTTCCAATTATAGTTAACACTAGCAAAGTAACAATCTAGAGAAGAAGGCCTTTTAGATTTGAGGAAATGTGGCTAACACAGGAACTTTGTGAGTCAATAGTTAAAGAAAACTAGATGAGGAAAGTGAAGGGATCCCAACTAGGGATGGAAATTTTCCCCATCCCCAGTGGGGACCCGACTTCTCCGACCCGATGGGGTCGGGGATGGGGATTGTTTTCGTGGGGTGAGGACGGGGATGGGGATTAATAGGAATCCCCAATCGGGGTCAGGGTCGGGGATGGGGATTGAGGTCCCCAACCCCGATTATATATTTATATATATTTAAATGTTATTTATATTAAACGTATATTATTTATATATATATATATATATATCAAAACATATTTAAAACATTATTTATAATTTAAATTTTTTATTTATTTTAAGTAAATTTATTTTTCAAAAAATACTATTATCCAAAAAATTTTAGGGATTTGGGTCCCTAGGGGAACCCATCCCTATCGGGGATCGGGGATGGAGGACAAATTTTATCCCTAGCGGGGATCAAGGACGGGGATGGGAGTTAATTTCAAAATTAGGGGCGGGGACAAGGAATATGATCCCTGCCCCGAACCCGCCCCATTGCCATTCCTAATCCCAACAATTCCAATTGAGCCATAAAAACAAAGCAATAAAATTTTCTTTCATCAAACAAAACAAAGAAGTTTTTGGAAATATTAAAAAAAGAATTCAGGAGATAAGGGGCCAATTGGAGGAAGACTTAGCAAAATAACACATTGGGATGGACTACAACACCTGAAGGAGTTTGGAAGAAGAAATGGGAGACCTACTCAAAAAAGAGGAAATCATGTGGGCACAAAAGGCAAGAGTAAACTGCCTAGCTCATGGAGATAAAAACACAAATTTTTTTTATAGTCAATATGAAAAGAAGAATTAGGAACAAAATTGTAAGGTTCAAAGATGAATTTGGAAATTTGCAGGATGATGAAGAGAAAATAAATAAGATTTTTAAATCATCTTACCCTTTAGATATGGATAAATTCCTTGAGGGGATGGAAGCTAGGATTGATGAAAATGAGAAGAGAGGTTTAGAGAAGTTGACCTTGAAGAAGTGAAGGAAGCTTTGTTCCAAATGGCTCCTAATAAAGCCTAGGGACCTAATGGCCTCCCAAATTTTTTTACCAAAAGTTCTAAAATATAGTTGGACAAGATGTCGTTAAAGTTGTATAACATCTCTTTGAAAATGGACACATGTTAAAGGAACTGAACAACACACTCATAGCCTTGATACCAAAAGTTAAGAACCCAGAGACCCCGAGTCATTTCAGACCTATTACCCTTAGTAACTTAGTGTACAAAATAATTTCAAAAATCCTAGTTAATGTGCTGAAACCACTCCTTAACAAATTAGCAGGTGAGCAACATAGTTCCTTCACCCCAGGAAGGCTCATTCAGGATAATATTCTGGTGGCCCATGAGATGATTGATTTTATGAAAAAACAAAAGTAAAAAAGCTTGGATGGCAATGAAACTAAATATGAGCAAAGCCTATGATAGAGTTGAGTGGTCTTTTCTAGATAAAGTACTCCAAATAATGGGATTTGGGGAAAAGTGGGTAAACTGAGTTATGGAGTGTGTCACTTCTGTTTCTTACAAAATTCTTGTGAATGGGAGTCCGTGATTAGCCTTTGAACCACAAAGAGGAATCAGGCAAGGGGATCCCCTTTCCCCCTATTTATTCCTGCTCATGTCTGAAACATTTTCAAAGAAAATTTTAAGGCTTGTTGACCAAAAACAAATTACAGGTATTAAACTGAACAAAGAGTGCCCAAGGGTCTCACATCTCTTTTTTTGCAGATGATAGTTACCTGCTCACAAAAGCTGATCCTATGTAAGGGTAGGTCATTCTAGATACAATACAAGCCTATGAAAGAGCCTCTGGTCAAAAGGTAAACATTACAAATCTAAAGTTTTCTTTATTAACATTTACACTATAGACTTCAGAAATTTCTAACCAGAACGCTCAAAATGGAGAGGGTGGACCACCCCCTCCATTTATCTAGGTCTACCAACTAAAATAGGAAGGTCCAAGAGAGAGCTATTTTCGTAACTTATAGAAAGAACTGAAAGGAAAACCAACAAATGGTTTGACCTATTTTTATCACCAACAGGAAAAGAGGTTCTCTTAAAAGCAATTATAGCTGCAATTCTATCATATACCATGTCTTGCTTCCTTCTTCCAAAGTCTATTTGTATGGACTAGGGGAAAATACAAAGGAAATTTTGGTGGAACAGTTCAAACAATTCAAGGAATGAGTCAATTGGGAAAATTTAAGCAGAAACAAACTTAATGGTGGACTAGGTTTTAGAGACCCACACACTTTCAATTTAGCATTGTTAAGCAAGCAAGCATGGAGATTGTGCAAAGGTGAGGATACTTTATGGGCATGGGTAATCAGAGCTAAGTACTTGAAAAATAAAAGTTTTTTTTTATCTGAATCTCCCTAAAAGAGGTTCATGGGGTTGGCAAAGCCTCCTATCAACAAGAGGGATTCTTTTGCAGGGGTGTTGTTGGCTTCTTAATGCTGGTAATAAGACAAAAATCTGGGAGGACCCCTGGCTCCCTAAGTTACCGGGGTTTAGGATCGAAGGACCAAGACCAAATAACCCAAACCTCTTGCTAATCAAAGACCTAAAATCAGAAGATGGGAGAAGCTGGAATGAAGCTTTTATCAAGCAGACTTTCTTAAAGGTGTATGCTAAAAATATTTTAAGTATTCCTCTAGGAACTAGAAACTGTTCGAATAAACTGATGTGGATTATGACAAAAAAATGGGGTTTTCTCTGTCAAATCTGCCTATTTTGTGGCTAAGACACTGGAAGAAGAAAAAACAAAATGTCAGTCTCATCCAACTCATAGCCAAGGTTAGGAAAGAAGCAATGGAAACAAATTTGGGCGTTCAAGATTAACCCTAAAGTAAAATCCTTCATTTGGAAATGCTGCTGGAATGCTCTGCCTACAAAAGAAAATCTATTGAAGAGGGGAATTACAGACTCGAACATTTGCTCTGTTTGTAACTTGGCAGAGGAATCTAGTATGCATGCATTATTCCTTTGTGGCCATGAAAAATTTACCTGGTTTATTAGTTACTTAAACATTAAAACTGAAAACTTCAGCGTGATGGACAATTTTGCAGCTTAGTTCTGCTATTGGTTAGACTTTTGTGATAGCTTAGATCAAAGGAAAGAGATCTTGGGTTTTACTTGCAATCTATTATGGATGATTTAGAAAAACAAAAACAATTTCTTTTTTGAATGTATAGAACCTGATCCAAGATAGACCGTCTTGTACGTCCACAGGAGGATGAAGGAGAGGAATCTGATTTCCTCTCGAGATTGGCAGCCTTCTTCCCAATCAACTAATTCGAAAGGTCAACAGGTTTTTTTATCAGTCCCTAATACAAACCGCCTCAAAGTGAATTTGGATGGAAGTTTTTTGTGTATCGGAAAAGCTGGTTTTGGCGTGATTATCAGAATCCACAAGGGTTTGGCAGTAGCAGCTTCTTTTGGCCAAGTCCCTGTGTCTTTCCCAATTCAAGCGGAGGCCATGGCTTTTTGCAAGGACTGGAACTACTACAAAAGGTGAACTACCACAGAGCAATTTAGGAAAGCGATTGTGCAAACCATATCAACGCTCTTCAATCGAATTTCCAGTGAGAAAGCCCAGGATGTTGTCTTCATCTGCAAGGATCTTATGAATATGACTAAAGATATGAACTTGTCTCTTAACCTTGTAAATAGATCTGTAAACAATGCAGCCCATAGTTTAGCTAAAAGAGGGCTTAAAGAATCTGGTTTTTTCTGTTGGGAAGTGTCCTCTTTGGATAGAGGAGTTAGCTTCCCGGGACATGGCCGGTTCTTGTACCAGTTTGTAATTGCTGTTCTTGTGGTTTGGCATTAGTCTAATAGACTCGTCTTACTTTCTACCAAAAAAAAAAAAAAACGAAAAGGCATTAAAATATCAAACAAGAACTCGTACATCATGGTGGCCTCACAATTGAAAGTGTTGGACATCAGCTTTGACTGCTTACACATCATCAAGCACAACATTGCAGTAAAAAGTCATGGCAGCCGAAATTTCTTGCAAACCTGTTGCTTTCTACAAGCATTAGATCAACCTCACTATTAGATTAGACAAAGTTGAAAGACTTTTTTAACAAATACAAGTGGCACCAAAAAAAGAACTTGAGAAAACTTTTCGAATAATTAGTACACATGGCGGGGGTGAAAACTATGGTTAGCTAATCTTCATAATATAACTATTACAGAGGACTCTACTGTCCAGACAGAGCCTTCCCTCACTATGAAAAACAAAGGTAAGAAAAATGAAACTAAACCCAAATTAGCAACACGTTCCTAAGTTAAGAAAACATTCCCCGACAAGAGACGTAGAATACAACCTCAAGGCACAGGGCAGTAGCCATTCAAGTGCTATTTTAAGCATGTACAGTTGACCAGAATAGAACACTCGAAAGCACATACTTAATGGAACCGTAACCACAACTTGACTGACTGGCCACTTTCAACTCACAACAAAACCCTGAAAAGCCATTGAGGGCTGATCAGTAGTTGTGTTGCCAGATCTGGTGTGATTGCTTAGCAGATGCACCTTGAGAACCACCAAGGGTCCCATCATTTGGGTTTTGCTGAGGATGTTCCTGTGAGACCCCTGTCTGAGACTGATAGAAATTTGGGTACCCTAGAGCTCCATAATGCTGTGAAGGTTGTTGACCTTGTCGAAATCCGCCATGCTGTTGACTCTGCCCCTGAAAGCTGTAATATGTGCTACCTGGAAGTGCTGACATCGTTCTAGAACCCAGCCCATGAACCCACATTCCGGAATTCTCATTCTATCAACATAGAAAACACAAGCAATATGGGTATATGATATAATACCACCACCACCATTAACAGCAATAATATAATTTAAAAAGGTTAGGAGACTGCCGAATCAATAATACCTGCTGAAGAGGGATGAATTGGTTGCCATCCTTGTACTGAGAGCTTATAACATCATCATAGCCAATTGTTGTGCTTGCAGGGGTGGAGGAAGGATTCAACGGGAAATTTCCAGGAATGTTTGTTGAATTCCCAAAGCCTCCATAACCGGAAGCAACAGCAGCAGACTGAGGCAAGCTGCTCACGGAAACACTATTTTTATATTGTGGGAGTGTGTATTTTACGCCAGCACTGTGTACTGCAGCTGGAGATTGATGATATGCACTGTTACCTGCATATGCTTGCTGGAAAGCAGAGGGCATATATGTGTAGCTCTGGGGAAGAAAAGGGTAACCAATCATGTTGGCAAAGTGTCCCAATGGGAGAGTTGGTTGCGAGTAAGGGTGCACTGCCAAGTGTTGGGGAAGAGCAGGTCCTGTGGCAATGCTGCTACCAGGCAAGGTTTGTGGAGTAGGCTGGGCAGTAGAAAAAATGCCTGGCTTCACTGCCTGCATGTGGAGAAGATAATTAAGGTTACTGGCCAAATGTATATCCCAAATACACTTGTAAGACCTATTAGATATGAACATTAAAAAGTGCCAAACTCCAAGATGAAACTTGCTAGGAATAGGGAGTTAAAAACAACTCAGAGAAGATCAAGTGAACCCTGTGGCTAGCACAAAGAAGTTGATTTTCTTGTGTCTGTAGTTTATCAGTTTATTGTCGGCAGTCAGCAGCCAAAGTCAACTGGGCATGTCCCCAACTGAGTTTATATAATTAAAAGACACTTATGCTGAGAAATGGCATACCTCTGGCATAGAAAGGGTAGGACCACTGATGGAAGATACTGTGTTGCTGTATTTTGTGGGCATTGATTGTGTTGCAAGGAATGGTGAGTAGGGAGTATCAGATTCTCTTGCTGGTTGCACATTTGATGCCAATAAATTACTTGGTAAAGAACTTGTATATGCTTGCTGTAACAACACCCAAAATCAGAAGCCGTGTCAAAATACATACTTGGATCTACAATTAGGTGAAATGTAGAAAGATAAGGACAACATCTAGCTATAACTCAACCAATAAAGTTGCCAAAAGCAAATTTCAAAATTCAAACTATTTAGTAATTTTAAATGTATTTTCTTTGTTTGAAGGCATTACCAAATTGATCACAACTCCAAGTAAGACACAATTCAAGCAACAATGTAATAGGAAGTAACTCTATTGTAAGATGTATTTAGTTAGTATAGTGAGTCATCTGTTAATGTTATCAATCAGAAAATCTCCACTGCAGTGTTGCATCATAATCAACTAAGCCTTATCCCAGCTAATATAGAGTTGGCTACATCAATCCTGCTTCACCTGTTTAGTGCATGTCCATGTTGAATTATGAGTGCACAAATCATTCTTACCACTTGAACCCTTGTCCCTTTTGGGTCTACTCCTATCCCTTCTAGCACCTTCAACTTGAAACACATAAATTCTTTTTTTTATTGATAACAGATAAATTCTTCTTATGGGTGCTGTAGATGGTATTCTATGCATGTGACCAAACCATCTTAGTCTACTTTCTTACATTAAATTACCTATTGGAGCTACCCATAAGCAGTGATTTAAAAGGCGAGCCTAGGCACAGGCAAGGTGCATTTTAGGTGGGCGCCTCACCCAGGTCCTAGGCGCAGCCCTTTCAAAAGATGCACGGCTGGTGCGCCTTGCGCCTCAGCCCAGGCATGCGCCTTTTTAAGATTCTGCACACTTTGCTTTCTTTTACCCTAACGGCTGGGCCGAGGGCTCTACCCCCGGACCCCCATGCCATGCCCCTCGAGGCAAGCCCAAACAAGTCCATGTTAGGGTCTTAAATTCTTAGTTCTCATACAAAAAAAATTAATGATTTTATAATTTTAATTGTTTTTTCAGACGATTTTTTAGTAGGATGAATGAATGAACAACATTACCCCCTATTTGGTAATGTTGTTCATTCATTCATCCTACCAAAATATCTTCTTAAAAAGCAATTAAAATTATAAAACCATTATTTTTTTTGTATGAGAACTAAGAATTTAAGATCCTAACATGGACTTGTTTGGGCTTGCCTCGAGGGGCATGGCACAAAGGCGATTCGTAGAATCAGGAATGTAATATGTTTTACATCACATTAGCTACTTTAAGTAACGCAATTGAGGAAAAAAAGAGATTGTGGGTTTTACATGCTTGAAAATGTTTTATATGTTCGATTTTATTTTTAAATTCACATTTGAATATTCTTTACATGTTATGTTTATGTATTTTAATTTTAGATATTAGGTTTTTTAAAACATCTTATTTTAAAATTTTTTGCATTTTAAAACGTATTTTAAAATTTTTTGCATTTTTTGCATTTGCGCCTCAGGTGCAAATTGACCCCTACGCCTTTTTTGCACCTTGCGCTTTTAAAACACTGCCCATAAGTCCTTTCGAATGACTTCATTTCTAACCATATCCTTTTAGGTTTTTCCACTCATCCTCTCTCAGCATACACATTTCTGTCACACGCCTTTTGGACATAAGACTGCTTTATAAAATTTTCCTTTTAACTATGCAGCATTCACCTACCACATAAGACTCAAGATGTGCCCCACCATTTTTCCCATCCTGCTCCAATCATATTTTTTTTTATCAATAACACTTTCATTAATTCATCAAGAAAATTTACAAGTGGAAGACAAACACACTTATCTTCCAAGAGTCACAAAGAACTTCAAGAAAGGAAAGAAGAAAATACAAAGATACAAGGACACTAACATTATCCTGCTCCAATCATATGGTTGGCATCCTTGTCAATAAATCCCTTGTTTCGTTGACTATCAAAAAAAAAAAAAAATCTCCCTCATTATGAATTATTGGTCTCCAAACCTACATGTGCCCTGATTTCAATCCTTTTACTAATAAATTTTCATAGGCATATATTCTGTTTTGGCCCTACCTTTTTATAAACCTCTTGTTTCTAAGGTATTTGTCTATAAACTTAATTTTGCAGAGTTGCACGAACTCCCCTTAAATAATAAAGTGTGTATTGAAGTCTAACACAGCAACATCCCATAGATTATTGAGGAACGCTTCTATACAACATTTTCCTTTTTCTTCCTAATTACTTATCAAAAATGAACGGTTAATAGATCATGATGAATGATAGGACTTAAGAAAAAAAATTGAGTATTCTTTTTCTGTAGACATGTCCATGAGTCTATGTTTTATCATCTAACCTAGTCAGAATCTTGGATACGTGTAAGATTCCAGTTCTGGTGTCTGTGTCCACACCGCACATTATCTGCCTAAAACTGTAGCCCACCCACAAAAACAAGCAAACAAAGTTTATATAACAAAAGCAATGCCACCATTAAACTTCTCTTCTTTTCTCGGGCTGACCATGTCTGTCAAAGAAATGTGCATTTACTCTGCAACTCTAACCAACATGCACACATAAATAAATATAATCCATTGTCAGGAAAATCATGTTTTTTTTCCAAAAGCATGTCATAAATGTTGACCAAGAAAATATCATAACTAAAAGTAATGCAATATATTTACCATTACGCTTGAAAAAGGAGCAAGATTCTGCATTTGAGAGTTCGTTTGTGCATAAGAAAGTCCAGCATTTGGTTGTGCCGTGTTTTCAAATGTGTAACCAGGTACAGAAGACGGAAAGCTGTACTGATGTCCATGTGTAGATTCAGCATTATCTGGTTTCAAAACCTCTGGTTGTGAAGAAGATGGTGAGTCAAAATTTCCAGTTCCAGCACCAGCTCTAGGAGCTAAATTTCCATCTGAAGTGGATCTAAGATGTTCATCTCCATAGTACTCAGAATTTCTGCCAAGAGAAAATTCACAAAAAATTATACACAGTGCAAAGTTCAAGATAGTTGACTTGTGGATGTGAAGTATGGACATACCTAGTATCTGAGTGGCCAACTGATGAAGCATCAAGTGATAGGGGGGCCTCCTCCATGTTATCCTTCAAGGGTTTAGATGCAAATGACCCAGAAAAAGATGCACTAATACCAGATCCAAAGCTACCAAAGCTCAAATGTGAGCAATCTGCAGTTGGAACTTGCAGATGATCTGGAATTATCACAGCAGGGTTAACCTCAGCTGCAGTTGGAACTTGCAGATGATCTGGAATTATCACAGCAGGGTTAACCTCAGCAGAGGACGGTCTTAGCTCCTCCTTTTGTAAATTCAGTTGCTGTAAGCTTGCTGCAGCTGACGACACAGCTACAGTGACATCCTCAGCTGAACAAGGTAATTAGAAACAGGTAAGTGCAAATAGCATCTAACACTTGAAGAAAGACCGACAAACATGGAGGAAACTATGTGGTAGGGGAAATACTGTCTATTAGAAGAAGAATAACATAGGTTATTCACTAATTCCTAGAACCACAAAAAGAGACAAGTTACAACTTGTAAGGCAAAAAGAGACAAGGTATAACTTGCAAGCAAAGGAATATTTTAAGCAACCAGTAGGCAAATATAACCAAGGAGTATAACAATGTAATAATCACAAAAGAGATGCCACCCTGCCAGAAAGGACAACTAACCAATGCCACTAAAAAGGCCACATCTTCACAGTACCCCTAGCAATTTTAAGGCCCTCCCCTTCTTGTCAGGCTTTTCTGGTTAAGGCTATCTAGAGTGGACCTGTCCCCCAATGATCAGGGTGTTTTGCTGGGAGGCAAAACACTGTTAAATCAATACCTATGACAATCTTCAAAACATAAGACCAAATTGGTGTTTGTCACCCAATAAGTTCTTCCTTTATAAGGCTGCTGCAAGTCTACTTTTCATTTACTAATCTCACATTACTTTGTCTACAGAATTTGGAAAAGGTTTTTGTTATGGATGTAGGCAGACCCCCCAGGAGACATGGCAAGTCTTTCAAGACCTCATTTTTACTTCTTAAAAATGAGGGAAGATGTTGTGGAAACAAAGTAGAGTAGCAGTGGTATGGACAGTTCCTAAGAAAGAATATGAGAATTTTCAAGGATAAGGCCTAGTTCAAGGAAGCACTCGTTGAAAATATGATGGTAAAAGTAGCATATTGGGTAAGAACACCAAGTCTTTTTGTTGATTTAACTGTGGATGACATAATTAGAGAGTGGCAAAATGGTTAACATTCATCAGTTACCAAGATAACCATGAATATAGAATTATGAGTGCCTACTGATACAATAAAGTTAAATTTTGATGGGTGTGCTTGGAGAACCCTGGAAACTCTGGCATTGGTGAGGTTTTCAAGAACAGAAATGGAGATATACTAACAATTTTTTGGGGACCAATAAGTCAAGGAAGTCCAGTGAGGCTGAGTTACTGGCAGATTTTCAGGTACAAAGACCAGGCAGATCACTCAACTTCAGAAACATGGTAGTGGAAGGTGATTCTAACGTGGTTGTAGACTGGGTTAAGGATAACAGTCAAAGCTTTAAAAGTACGAATATATAATAAGAGAGATGAGACAGCTGGCAGTGGCCATGGAGACAACATGAAAATATTTACATGGACTTGGGGATTTTGCTAACGGGTTAGCAGATGTACTAGCAAGAGGAGTTATCATTAATCTGCTTTTTGGGGGAGTTCTCCCAATGGCTGTGCATAGTTTGGAAAAGCATGGTTAGGTAGCCATGCTAGCCTACAATATGGGGTGCTATTAAACGAAAAACCAAGACCACCAAATAACCCTGAGCTTCTCTTATGCCTCTAGGATATATCAGCAGCATCCACTCAACAGCATACTCACAACATATCCCTTGCATATTTAACCCACAAACACTTCAATCAAGGAAACAGCATAGAAGATTCTAATTTGAAGACCTTTGTAAAAGGCCATCTATAAACCTTAGTTTAAACCACCACGTCTTCAAAGTTCTTTGTGTATGGTCCTATAAACCTTGATATGAAATATAATGTATTTTATCAATCCCCTGTGCTTGAAGGTTCCAGACCAACAGTCTGACTTTCAAAGGATCACCTTGACCAACAGGGTGCATCCAGGAGAATGCCACCGTAGCCCCAGTGAACAATAACATTTTCCATAATACCAGAATGAGACTATGTAGCAAGTTTTCAAACCTCAAGTCATAAGCTAAGTCAATGAAAATTTTCTCAAACAAGGACCTTGATTCAATGCTTAGCTCATCTCATCTACATCATTCTCCCCAAAGTCAATAAAAAAGAAAAGAAAAAGAAAAAAGCAGTTGCCATTTATCTCTGATTTTTAATATTTATGATTATGATCAACTTGCAAGTATGAAATACCAAACATTCTCATGCCTCACTGACAACCCATAACATGATTTCTTCAAGCTAGTAGCTTTTTTTGTTCATGAAGCTAGTATATAGCTTTTTTCCCCAACAAAAACTTTGCTAGATAATATGAGAACATTTATAGCAGGCTCATTCTACTATAATTTTAGTAATCTACCCAAGCATTGATTCTTTAAAGTCTTGCTACCACTTACTGTCTTCACTAGTTACTAGTAACAACTTCATTAAAAATATGATTCTCATAAACTTTTCCCATTGACATTGTGTAAACAATGTATTTCCAAACCAGTGATCCTGAAGAACATGGATTAATGAAAATCAAAAACTAGAATGTGGTGCTAATGCAACTAGACTAATGAGAATATCTAAACCTTGCTATGCACCTAGAAACAATAAACAAAAAAAATTAGTAAGGTTTTCGGAAGGTGTTCTGGTGAATTCGGTTCTGGGAAGATTTGTGGGTGGGTGAAATTCCACTTAAAGACCAATATCCTGATCTCTTTGCTTTTTCTCTCCTTAAGGGAGAGATGATCTTCAGGTTGGGAACACCTCCAACTGGGATGGACTGGAACTTGGATTTCAGAAGAGGATTAAGAGAAAATGAATGTTCTTCCTTGATTCACCTTTTAGACACTCTAAGGCAAATTTCTTTAGACACTTCGCTGAGGACTCTAGAATTTGGTTGCCTTCCTCATAGCTCTTCACTTCTCTACCTTTTACAAATCCCTTAACCAATCTACCACTCAAGGGGTGAGCTTCTCAGTGAAAGAAATTTGGTGTAAGCCTATCCCTCCAAAAATTCAAGCTTTCTGATGGATCATTTTCCTTGGTAAGGTAAATACTTGTGATTTGTTACAGAGAATAAGGCCTTATGTTCGCTTTCTCCTCATAATTGCTTCATGTCAGGCAATACTGCAATAGTGAGACCCTATCTGCATAGAATTTGGGTGCTTTTCTGCTCTCTTTTTTGGTTCAAATGCATCTCTCCTCAGGAAGTGGTGAGCATCTTCAATCCCAACTTCTTGAGACAATCTAAGAAAAGAGGGGAAGTGCTCTACAAAGCCACCAAAGCAGCAATCTGGTGGGTTGTATGGGAATAAAAGAATAGTAGGATTTTCACTAAAAAACAGATCTTTGGAGGAGTTGATAGACAGAAGAAAACTAAAGGTAGCTTTATGGGTAAAGACATTGGATTGCTTCCAAAACTTTTCTATCACTGACATTTTAAGGGCCTGGAGGCCCTGGACTAAGGTAGCACACTTTTCAAGAGCTAAAGATAGGGAATGGAAGCCTCCATGAGATTAAAAAAAAAAAAAGTCAGCTGAATAATGGGAGCTCCCTTGGGAATCTAGGAATGCCAGGAGTAGGAGGGGTAATCAGAAATTCAGAAAGGAAGATACTGGCCTTACACCGAGGACCGGTTGGCATGAGAAACTCCTTGAAGGCTGAACTATTGGCCTTACTGCAAGGGCTCAGATTAGCTAAACAGATGGGATTCAGATCAATTGAGGTGGAAGGGGACTCATAAAAGTTGTTAAACACTTGGGCAACAGGCATATCCCTTGAACTCTTAGACCTATAATAAGGGAAGTGGAACAAGTTGCTAAGGACATTGGGGCAGAGTTTAAGTGGTTCAGGACAGCAAATGGGTTTGCTGACTCCCTAGCTAAACAAGGAGTTACAAGACAACATTTGTTCTGGGCTTCTATATAACTTGGGTTTGAGGAAAGGGTTTGTCATTTCTGCTTTCATCTTGTACTAACACCACTTTTATTATTTAATGAAATAAAACTAATTTCTGCTGATGAAAACAAAAAGATGTTGCTTTGATCATTCTTCTTTGCACAACTCTCATGGGTCTTCGGTTTTCGTAGAGATTAAAGACCATGAAACCATTAAGGCCATTCACTTGTTGGAAACCTTAAAGATGCCTTCATGGACCCAATAAAAATAATAGGATAGTGTAGACAGTGAACCATCTTTAAGTATTTTCCAGTGCTGCCTATAAGGCCATAATAGCAACAGATCACCCAACCCCATACTTTCCAGTCAAAGCAAAACGATTGGACTTGACACCTCCCAAAATCATGGCTTTCTGCTGGGAAGTAATTAATCTGAAAACCAATATTTTTGAAACCCAACAAGAAAAGAAGGCTGAACCTAGGTTTGTGACCCCATATATGTTTCCTATAAAAGGCAAACTTTAAAACCACTAATCACCTATTAGTATCCTGTCCTATAATAGTTGTCAAGGTTTTCAAGGTGACAGCACCTAGGCACCTTATCGCACCCATGGAGGGTCACCTCGCCTAAGAAATTAGTTTTGTCTAACGCCCATATAATATTTTTATATTTCAATTCTTATGATATTGCAATTGGCATTATTAAACTAAATTATTCAAATTTATGGATTTATAATATTTTTGTAATTCTTCTACTAGTTTATTTTTATTATTTTCTTACCGGTATCAGTACAATCCACACACAAGTCGGTCAGCATTGTCTTAAGCCCTTGAAGACTTCAAAATTCAAAACCTGAACCGATAAGCAAGGAAGAACTTGAAGATTTTATCCAAACAGCATATAGGAGCAACCACCATATGTCTTCTTCTTTCAGCCCATACTTTCCTTCTTTTTTCTAGAACAAACAATAGGGACTCCACCTCCACTTGTTATTTTCTATGGTTTAACATATCCTTTTTCTAAGACAATATTCTTCTTTTTTCCTTTTTTTCTCTTCTCATGAACAAGTTGATTTTCTATGTTTTGATACAAGGTTAATATTTATTTCATGAGGATTTTATACACACACACACACACACATATAGATCAGCAACAAAGATGAAGTCATCCATTAAATAATTAAAATGCTTACAACTTACAACAAGAGGTGCGAGTACAATATAAGAGCACAGTCACTATTATCTCTCTCCACCACACCCTTTTTACATGTGAACCGAAAACATTTGCTGTCTATTGACCCCTTTTTATCCAAACAGTTTTCTGATTGTTGTACCCATATCTACAATCTACATGTCATTTGAAACTCATCTTAATTTATACCTAAAGCTCCACACTACCTTCTTATCTATCATTAACCAACTAACTACCACCTTCGAATCACCTTCAATTATCAACTTTTCAACTCTCACTTCTTTAGCTTTTTGCAACTCAAATACTACTGCCAAGATTTCTGCCTTTAGTGAGTCCCCTTCTCCTGGACCTAAATAGTTTGCACATATGATTCCATTCTCATCCCTTCCCAGTCCCCCAATTCCAGAAAGCCTAGGATTACCCATGCTACTTCCATCAAAGTTCAGCTTCAGCACCCTCTATCCAGAGGTGTCCAATCCGTTTTAACTTTTGGTTTTTAGAAGAAGATCCTCTACTGCCCCCCCCCCAATTTCTAATAATATCATCCATTGTGAAGTCCAAGAATAGTTCCATCACCTTCACTCATTGTACTACTCTTAGAGTGATGGTTTTGATTAATACCTCCTTACCTCTTTCTTTCTCCTCAAAAAATCTTATCCAAATCACAGCTGCTCTTGTGCATTTCCACATAATTCTTCCCTTCTTTTTAAACATTTCATCACAGATGTATCAAATAATCTGTCCAAGCAAACAGGGGGGTTCCACCTACACCCAAAAAGTGAAAACAAAAGGACAGGACATTAGGAGGTGGTAGGCAGTCTCACCATTCACTCTAGGGGACAAAAGCCAGTTCAGTCTTTTTCTTAGCAACATGTCACAAGTATTGATACCTCCATGGGAAACTTGGCATGCAAAAGGCACACCTCCTTCATAGGAAAGGTAGAGAAGAAGGATTAACCAAAAAGGAATTAAAGAAGAATTTACAAGAGAAGCTATCATTAGCGTTAGAAATCCACCACCAGCCATCCCCAAAAAAATAATCAAGGACCACCCCATCCAACAAATTCAAGAGATTAGACACGAGTAGTTTAAGATTCTCTAATCCTAAGACCCAAGTTCAAGTTCAGCTGTTACAGGAAAGGACTGAAAAGGGATACCTAGGTGCACAGGCAAGGTGGCATTTTTTTTTATCAGCAAAGAAAAAATTTATTTGATATTAGATTTAAAATTTTACAACTTTGTGTATGGGATTCGAACTCCCATACTATTACATATTTCTGTCCCTATTTACATTGCAGCCCAAAACATTTGTTGCCTCAAAGCCCCTTGTTTAGCAAGATAATCAGCTAGCCCATTTGCACTCCTTCTAACCCATTTGAATTCAGCCTCTACCTCCCTGGCTACCTTTTCCACTTCCCTTATCACTTGTTTGAAAGTCCACTGAGTAGTTCTATTGTTTTTAGCCCAAGAGATGATCACCTTGGAGTCCCCTTCAACTTCAATATGCCTCATTCATAGTTGCTTAGCTATCTTCAGTCCTTGTAGCATTTCAAGGCTTGTGACTCGCCTAGGCCCAGGAACAGCCACTTTAGAAAGGCACACACCTATTTGCTAACATTGGCCATTCCATTCTTCCTAATACAAGATATTTTTTAAAAGATAATGAACTAAAACTAAATTAAAAAAACCAATCTTTTAAGTTGGGATTAAGAATTTAGGACCCTAGCATAGACTTATTTGAGATACGATCAAGGGGCTTGGTAAAAAGCAGTTCCTAGAATTAGAATAATGCAATTAAGAAAGAAAATAAAGAGCATGGAAGTTTTACATGCTTAAATTGTTGAGTCTTTGAATCTTTTATATGTATGTGTAATTTCATTTTTATATTTTCACTTTAAGTTTAATGTTTCATGTTTGTGCATTTTAATTGAGTTATAGGCTTTTTAAAAACACTCAGTTTAGAATTCATGCAATTTTTTAATTAATATTATTTTTATTTTTCATGTATTTGATTTTTTGCATTTTTTCATTTTTTTTTAATTTTGCACCTAGCTTCAAAAGGTGTGTATCTCACCTTGCACTTTGCACCTTGGGCACAAAAAGCACCTTACGCTTTTTAAAAACACTTAGTTTAGAATTCATGCAATTTTTTAATTAATATTTTTTTTATTTATCATGTATTTGGTTTTTTGCATTTTTTTACTTATTTTTTTTTAATTTTGCATCTAGCTTCAAAAGGTGTGTATCTCACCTTGCACTTTGCACCTTGGGCACAAAAAGCACCTTACGCTTTTAAAATACTGAGTACAGCCCTAATCTAAAGGGCTGTACTCAAAAGCAATTCCCTAATGCAAACAAATCTTATGAAAAGAGACAAATCTTTCAAAAGAGATTCCCTAATCTAAAGGTATTCTCACAATTTAATCTTAATACAAGAGGACAACCCATACCTGATATGATAGAGAAACAAAAGAAGAATATCATGTAGGCACTTTCCAAGGTGCATGCCTTGGTGCGCCTTGCGCATCAGCCCAGGCAAGCACCTTTTGAAATTTGGACGCTTTTATGTTTTTTTTTTTTTTTGAACCTAGCGGATGGGTCGGGGCTCTGCCCCCATACCCCGTGCCATGCCCCTCAAGAGTCGAGACAAGCCCAAACAAGTCCATGTTATTAGGGTCTTAAATTCTTAGTTCTCATACAAAAATAATGATTTTATAATTTTAATTGCTTTTTAAGAAGAAATTCTATTAGGATGAATGAATGAACAACATTACCAAATATGTACATCACATTAGCTACTTGAAGTAATGCAATTGAGGAAAAAAAGAAATTATGGGTTTTACATGTTTGAAAATGTTTTATATGTTTGACTTTATTTTTAAATTCTCATTTGAATACGCTTTACATGTTATGTTTATGTATTTTAATTTTAGATAATAGGTTTTTAAAGCATTTATTTTAAAATTTAAGTTTATATTTTTATTAATACTATGTTTAATATTTTTATTTTTTTATATTTTTTGAATTTTTTGGCACTTCTTTATTTTTTTTTACTTTTTTTTATTTTTTAGCATTTTTTATTTTTGTGCCTTGCTTCAAAAAGGCGTGCAACTCGCCTTGCACCTCGGGCACAAATTGCCCCTGCGCCTTGCGCTTTTAAAACACTGAAGCAAGTGTAGCTTTATGCAACAATCCAGCACCCCAACCATTCTCTAAGAGCCCATGGATACTAGCCACAACCTTACGGCATAGCTTTTCATTCTCCATTGGCAACCTCCACACCCACTTCCCCAAAAGAGATGATTCTTCTTACTCACATTACCTACACCCAGGCCACTCTCCTCCTTCCTTCTACTCATTTTTTCCATCCAAATGGTCCTTCTTCCCCTCTCCTGATTCCCAAAGGAAATCGTTCATCATTTTCTCAAATCTTCTCACTACCCCTTGAGGCATCTTAAACACAGACATAGAATACACCAAGAGATTTGCTACAATAGACTTAATCAAAGTTAACCTACCCCCAAGAGATATGTATTTCCTCTTCTAAACAACCAATCTCCTCTCTATCTTTTCTACCAATGGGCATCCTGGGTGTCTAGGCAACATGGCACCCCCTATCACATAGCTTCACCTTGGTACCTCAAAAACTATGTCTTGTCCCTTGTGAACAGCATTTGGGAGAATTTCTTTACTTTATTTGACCATAGATAGCTTCCCCCTACAAACATTGATGCTTTGTTTCCAACTAGCATCTTCTCCCCTAGAGGGAAAAGGGGAAAAGACTAGCCTTCCTGAAGGAAAATCAAGGGGGCAAATTATACTTTGCAACTTCAACATTGGTGGACATTTCATAATTCAAAGATGATGAGGTTTTGGGAATATATCACTAGTTTTTTTAAGATATTTGAAAATCTAAAGAAACCAGGGGAAATTACTAAAGGCATGGAATTTGTTGATAACATCATGAATTGTAGGACAAAGTATAATTGAACATTTAAACTCAAAAAACCATAGCAAACAACTGTAACATCAAATAAGAAAGATCCCTTTTAGTCTATTAGCCATCTTTCTTCTGTATGCATGTCATTGACTTGCATTTTCACTTTTTTCTTTTTTATTTTATATGTTTTGAATAGTTTGAGAATCTTTTATAGTTGTTTGCAATGTGTCTTTTCTTTTTCTCTTTTTTTTTGAACTATTATGACTTAGTTTGTGAATCATATTTACAATAGTACGCCAATCATCTGATCACAATAATCCCCATTGTTCTTTCTGGCAATGACTTTCAAAAAAAATCAAAGATTTTAATAAAATATAGGAATTTTTTATTATATTCTAAAGTTTAAATCTTAGATATAATTTATCAATGCAATTCAAAACATCTTCAATATATCAATAATGTGCTGAAGATATCTGAGGGGGGAAAAAGGATTCTTGAAATATTTCATAGTGATTTCAGGGAGATATCAACAATCTTGTCAATATAGCAAACCATCGACAACACAACAAAGAAAAACCAAAAGAAAGCAAGGCTTAAATGAGAAAGTTATCTAAGAAACCAAAACATCTTATGGAATCTCATCAACTAAGAAGAAAAGTCTTTAATCAAAATTCTTTACTGTTTTCTCACCTAAATTCAAGACTCTATAAAACAGACTTCTTATATCATAGGAGTCCTAAAGGATCATGAGATCATAGCAATATACACATGGACTTCAAAATATACAAGAATTCAAAAGTATTTCCAAGTTCTAGAATAAAATTTAACAATTCAGAATTGCTATGTGGATAAAACAAGACAAAATGACTTCCATAAACAATTTATACCAAAACGAATCCTATATCTAACAAGAATCTAATTTAAAATAAATACTTCTACCATGGTCCTGTAACTTTTTTCTATAAATCCAACATAGCATGCTCAGATTACATCCAGATCATCTTGAGCTCCTTAAAGAGGTAAATCAATAAGCTTTGTAGAGACAAATATGCTACATCAGTAAAGCATCAAACCCTAGTAACATTACAAATGAAACATCAGGCACTATTAGGGCAGTCGTTTAAACATAATGGCCAGAAAACAACAAAAAAATATAAACTTAAATATTTAGTAATAAATAATAAGAATGGTCTTAACATCTTTGACAATAATAACATTAATGGTCCAGACAAGTTATTTGAGAGGACAACTAGGTTCATGGCTGCATATCTTTTTCTTTTTTCTTTTTTTTTTTTTTGAACTGATGACTAGAATAGTGTATTAAAGATATTTAATATGGAAAAACACAAAACTGCTAACTCCCTCAGAGAAAATGGATAAGACCTGAAAACCATAGTTGTCAACACGACACCTAGCCAAGTGACTAGGTAGTTTTCATGGTTGTCTCACCCAAACACCAGATGATTTTCCTATTAGGTGCGCTTGCCTAGATAACTAGGCGCACACCTAGGCAACTTGGCAGGTGCTTAGATTGCTATTCAGATTGTTGACTCATGCATATTATATCATTTTTATTGGTTACTTTTATCTTATTAGAATACACCCTGTTACATGTTATAATTTTTTATTATGAGAATGATAATATAAAACAAAACTACTTTTATCTTATTAGAATTTAGAATACCCTCTTCTTTATTATGAGAATTATAAATAGTCCAAGTCGTCCTGTTATCCCTGTATTTTATTTTCTTATTTTTTATGAAATATCTTTGTGAATGAAACAGGGGCTCAGCCCCCTTATTTCTTCTTCTTAAACAGGGGCTTCACCCATGGTTTAAAGTATCGATACACACGAACAGGCGTATCGGGTGTTTCGATGCTTTATAACTTCTTTTTTTAGCTTTTTTTCAAAAATGTTTCAGCGGGTTTGGTTTTAGGCTTGCCTACCCCCCAGAAAGTGCCGAAATTCTGAAACACCCCTTATTTGGGGTTTCGGAAAGCTAACAATACGCCCAATACAGGGGCTCTGCCCCCTTATTTTTCTCTCTTTTTTATCACTGCATTTCTCCATTTCTCATTTTGCTGTGGCTAGTAATAAGTTGCTTCTTATTTGCTTTATTGAACTGTTAGTTAAATATTGAAATTAAAATATTTAAATGATGAATATATGATGGCAGTTTATTTTTTTTACATGAAATGTATACTTGGAAGATTTTATTGCTGATAGTTAATGTACAGGTCTGTTGATTGGTATACAAAACTAACAAACCAGTTTAGGAGGGGTAGGGATCATGGTTTTATATTTTCAAATTCCATCGCCTAGGCGTCAAGGTGCCCACCTGGCGTCCTGTGGTCGCCTAGGCTTGCCTAGGCACCTTTACAACTATGCTGAAAACCTTACCAGAGGATAGAGTAAACAAATTAATAAGAATGAATAACAGACAAGAAACAAGCTACCCGGAAGGAGAAAGTCCAAGGCATCATAACTCAAAAAAGATTACAATGACATGATAAGGAATAGATCTAATGGACAACACCAGTCAAAAGATAGAACCCATGGACCAGAATATTACGCTAAGGTATTTGAATCTGTTATCCCAGGAACAGATAAGGAATTGCACCCATTCGAGAGTAACAGAAAACAAACCAGTAATCCCCAAAAATAGAATATATTACATTCCAACATAAAAGATTATCCAATCTCCTTCAACAATCTATTACTCTCACCCCAAAAAATTTAAACAGAAAAACGCCACCATAGCACCACAAACCACAACAACAGCAACAAAATGCATAAATACACGGTTAATTTAGATTAATGCAGTTTTTCCATAGTCCAGTTACCATAGCTTACCTTCCTCATGCTCAAAAGCATGCCTGTGAGGCTGATAGGAACCCATATTCTGGAAAGAGGTGTTGTCAAAATGGGATGTACCACCAGAATTATCTTCCTGAATGTTCCTACTAGAAATAGACTCAATTTGTTCAGTGCTAATATTTTCAACAGTAGTGTCTTCACCTGGCACTTGGACATCATCTGATCTGGAATTCAGATGCAGACTAGTTCTATCAACACATGCATCAGATTGATCACCATATGCCTCAGAGTCAACAGTTGGTTCTAAGACAGAGGATCCACTAGTAGCCACCGACTTATCACCCAACGACCATTCGTCATGAGAAACATGATGGCTTCCAGCAGCATCTGGTTTTTGGACTACCTCTGAAAACGTGGAAGCAGCACCTTGTGATGAATGCAAGTCATGGTGTGGTTCCTCTGAAAGATTTCCAGAAAACGGGGGATGCTTCACAGTATGTTGGGACACATTTGGTAAAACCGCATTATATTGTGCATAAGAAGTCTCTTTTGTCACAACCGGTGTACTAGTGGAAACTTTGTTCTGCGGCCGACCCATTTTCACAATATCAGCCATTGAAACTTGGCCTGGGACCCCCAACCAGGCAGGCTGGTATCCCGGAGAAGGTTGTGATGCCAATGAGATACCATCACCTGTGCTTGTTGTCTGTGTTTTACTTTCAGCAGCAACCAAATCGCTACAAAAGATATTAATAAAGAACATTTAGTACCAGTTAATTCAACATTTCAACCAACTGCAAAATCAAAGAATATACCAAGTCACATGGTAATAAATCATATGAGCAAGAATGACAAAGTAATCAGAATGATGTTCTAGCACTTTCAAAAATATACCTTGAACAAAATAATTAAGTACATAATCACATATATAAAGAGGTATTTGTGGTTTAAGTTTGATATCAATTGGGTCAGTAGTTCTTTTGATTAGGGGTAATTAAGGCTAGTTTTGTCTTTTAATCTTTTCTTCTTTTTTCCTTCAATATAATTAGGGAGTACAATTGGTAGATTCAATATAGGGGCTCAGCTACATGAATCCTGCCCCCGCCAATCTATTCCATTCAATGCTGTCAAACTGCAATCATTTCTCACTACTTGAAAACCCATGTCCATTTTCGTCTTCTCCTAGCTCTTCTAGCCCCTTCAATTACAGGATACAAAAACAAGCTAGCCTCGGCTAGTCAATAATATTGCAATACATTGCATAACCAATCCCCAAAACATTTCTGATCTATTTAACCCAAGCTAGCTAGATCATCAGCCATAGCGTTTGCAGCCCTTGGAGTCCAAAGAAATTAGCATTTACTTCAGCTGCTAGATTATGCATCTCTCTTACAGCATTTACCTCAGACCCTAAAAATGGCATTCACTTCTGTTGTAGACTTGTAATTGAGTCTCCCATGCATAAAGGGCCAGACTATATAGACAAATGCTGCCTCAGCAAACAAAATGTGCCAATGGAACCTCCTCCTGTATATGGTTAGTCGATCCATCCATGGCCAGTGCAAATAAGGGCTAAGTGTTGCGCCTTGGCAAAGTCTCATTGTAATTGGAAACATTGACATCTCTGCCATGGGTGTTATAACATGGGTTGTCGCCCCTTCAGACATGTCCTTAATTGAGTCCACATACCTATTTGACACTCCTTTTATAACACTCGCCATATTATCTCTTTAGGGCCATCAAGGGGTAAGGGGAAGGCAATGTCATGCTACCTTGACTTGCACTATAGAACTTCCCATCAACCAAACCTGCAGACTATCAAAGGGCAGCCCTAGAAACAGGAACCCCATGACCTCATCCAAACTTGAAAGATCAATTAACAGAAGATCAAAACCAAAAGGCAAAGACATTACCAAAATAATTCTCTCCTTTCACCATGACACAGAGGATATGTACCACCCAAGGTTTAAAATATTGACCATCCAAACTACTTAGATCTTTGACACAAATAACAGCTTCTATTCAAGTTTGGTTTACTTTTTCTAATAGTCAATGAACCCATGGCAGAATGGGTAACCGAAAGAATTTATTAATATATATAGAAGGAATGAGATAGAAGTAAATACCAATATATGCCCTTTATATATCTTTACCCTTATATTATACCAGGGCTGTACACAGGTCAGTTCAATTCGGTTTGACCTATTTGTGCCAACTGAACCAACATTGCCAGGCCGGTTATTGGGTCAATGAACCATTTTGCATTTCAGTCAGTTTCAACACAGTTCACTGAGCAAAATACCGAAGTGACAATGGAATCACTCCATAAATAAAATTAAATAATTGATTGAGACTTCGGTCAGACCGATTGGTCAGTTGTACTATCGGTCAGTGTGGGAGAGAAGGGGACATAAGTTGTTAGGACTGACATTTGGACAGGACTGAGAGAGATTGACAGTTTTTAATGATAAAAGAAAAGGTTAAGGTAATGAATGATAAAAGTAAATGGTTTCTGGGTTACCGCGTATCCCATATCATATTTTAACTGAAATATAGGTTCTCAGTTTGGGTCAGTTTCAACTCGGTTTACAGGGATATGACCCACAACCGAACTGGTTCATTGGTTTTTATTATGTATCAAATTGAAATCAACTGATGTGTTAGCCAAGCAAGGGATAAATAGGGAAGAATTGTTTTGGGCTCAGCTGTGATTCCTGTATTTCTTTCCTAGTTTACTTGTAAGATACAAGGAGGGGCTGCAGCTCGCGCCTCTCCCGGGATATTGTATGAATTCACAACCCTAAATCAGCTTTTGAATTAACAAATTTTACTATTATTCATCAAAAAAATTGAAATCAACCGATTTGTCTTAAAGCCAACCACTTAGGGTCGAGTCGGTCCTGTTTGGTCACTTTGGTCAATTTGTTCCATTTTATGAACATCCCTATATTATACAATATGTTACCAATAGCAGTCGTCATCATCACCTAAGCCTTCTCCCAACTATATGGGGTTGGCTACATGAATTCTGTTTCACCATTATGTTCTGTTCAGTGCCATATCCATCATCGAACTATGGGTGCTTAAATCATTCCTTACTACTTCCACCCAAAGTCCTTTTTAGTCTGCCCCCAACTCTTCTAGCCCCTTCAACTTGTAACAGATAACATGTCACCAATAAAAGTTAATACCTTGAAAATTTGCTAAAAAAATCCAAAGGCATTGAAGCACATAAAGAAACTTGATTAAATAGTTCTGACATATTGCTCAAAAATGTGATGAGCAAACCTGCTAGATGTAGGCCGTCTATTGATAGTAGTTTCCACCATACCGGATGCAGAAGATGAAGAACTTGGAAAAGCATTTGCTCCATTTTCTTTCTTGTATGCAGGTTTACCACGCAAACCTCCAGTCTCTAAAAGAAGGAACAAACCAAGGACTGGTAATATGAGTATCTACTACTATTCATCCAAAAATGAATATTTACTGCAAAGACTGTTCACTAGTTTTATCTAAGCATATAATGGATATTTGTCCAAGGATTTTATGATAAAAACGTACCGCTAGTGAGGCCACCACGTCCCACATTACGGTCAGTACCTCCCCTTCCTCGATTTGAAGTACTACTGACCCCTCGAGATCTAGGTTCAGCTGTCACCTTGATCTGAAAATAAAAGGAAAATGAAAAATAAGCATTTACAGAAAGCAATTTAAGAAACTTGGGTTTAGATGTACTCAAAGTCTACTCCTATCCCGATAATAAAAATAGTCTAACACCATGCAAATTCCTTACTACTCACTAGTGATATAAAAGAGAACATGTTTGATTGTATCTTCAACTTCACAAACCATTGACTAGTAAGCATAAAGTAGCAAAAGTAATAACAATAATAATAAGATTTATAATGTAGGAAGAAGAATCTTAACAAAAAGGAGTTACATCCTGAACACAAATAGCAAACAGAAAGGTGGAATTTGGAAGTCCGAAATATTGCCACTTATTCCCAAAACTGAGAATATAAGCATTATCCCCCTTTCAATGCATCCAGTTAGGCCTCTAATGGGTCCACTTATATCTGAAATTTGGAAGTCAGAAGTGCATCCACAGTGTCTCTGTATAGCTTTTGGGTTGTTTGCCATTATAATTAAAGAATCTCCCTACTACCTCTATCAAAAAAACTTTAATTAATAAGTGATCAAATCATCACTTATTTTAATTGTTTTTAATAAATAAAAAGGAAATTCATTAAAATATAAAAGGAAATACAGAAGGAGAAATGCAAACAGCAAGGTGATGAGAAACCATCCAAGAGAAAGAGAAAAAAACCACATTCACATTTACAACCATCACCCCAATTTTCCAACTCTAAAGTAGACCGAAAGTCCGACCCCAAAGACCTTTTACAAATTTTGGAAGGAGAAAAATCCATTCCAGCATTTTATTTCCAATTTCCAAACATAGCTTTTACTTGCTTCTTCATTTTGCTTCAAATATTCTTCTGTTTCTTTCTTTCCAGATTATTTTTGCCTTTTTATTCCCATGCAGCATAGGCCAAAGAGCATAAATATCATTAGGTGGCAGAGGAGACCATAGATCCATTTTAAATAGTTGTAAGAAAGCAGTACATTCACCAATCAGCTTCACACAATAATTACCTGTCAGTGAACAGCAATCATTTACTTCTTAGATGATCTTCAGTGAAAATACTACTCATAGCCACAAGCCAAGCAAAAGTTTCACTCTTGGGAGTCATTGATTACCCCAAACACCCTTAATTCCTCTCAACCTGATTTTTTTTTTTTTTTTTTGCCCAAGCTTTGTAAAAAGGCTTCACCAAAATCCTACCATTCTTACATTCCTTTCACCATTTTCAATCTTACCTGTTTGGCTGTCTACATGAATCTCCAGTGTTTAAAAGCTTAGCCAGCAACGAAACACATTCCTCCAACTCCCTTTCTAGCAGAGGTCTTCTAAAGATGGGACAGCACACCACTGACCCTTGCCTCACTTCATAACATTTTGAAATTGAAATATTTTCTCACCCAATCCATACAGTGGGCAGATCTAACAAAGTCTACCAACACCTGCCCGGTCATCCTCCCAAAATCTAATACTTGTACCATCCCCAACCTGAAATGAAGTGAAAGTTAAGAATACTAAATGAAACATCACGATTCCTTTCCACACACTCAAACCATATGAGGTTGTCACCTCTCTTGAATATGAACCGAAATTAATCACCTCATACTTGCAAGCAACTACCCTCTTCCACAAAGACTCTTTCTCCCCAAATTTCCACAACCACTTACCTATTAAAGCTTTATTGACCAAACTTACCCTATAAATCCCCAAACCCCCATCCTCCTTTGCCCTACACACCCAACTCCACATAACCAAATGATATTTTCTTTCTTCCACCTTAATGTTCCATAGAAATTTCTTTGCATCTTCTTTATTGATTCAGCCACCAATGCCAGAATTTTGAGCAAAAATAAATAATATATAGGTAATTTGGATGAAACACTTTTCATAAGAGTAAAGTGATAAATATTTCCCTTTCAACTTGCCATCCTTTGATCAACCATGTCCAATACTGGTTGTCATGAGGAAGGTGACGAAGCTTTTGCATCAATTGGTAACCTCAAATACCTGATTGGAAACTCACCCATAAGACATCCCAATGCCACAACGCAATCTTCAAGCAATGTGTTAGAAATATTTTGGGGTAATAAAAAAATGTGTGAGAAATATTTCTTTGGGGTAATAAACTTAAAATTTATTAAAACGAAAAAGAAAGCACAAGAAAAGTAATAAGGAATCACCCAAAAGAAATTTTCAACCAACAAAACCTGATCTCCACTCTCTCAAAAAAAAAAACCAAAACACCCACTCCAATCATCACACTCTTTCTTAAATTAATTTCAGACCTGTGATCATTTCAAAACATTTAAGTATTGCTCTCAAATTCAACACTTTCCACACTAAAAATCTACATGGGTAATAACTAAATCCTTCCTACCAATCTTGAAACCTTCTATTACTGAAAATCTACATGGGTAATAGCTAAATCCTTCCTACTAATCTTGAAACCTTCAATTACTCCCGCGTCCGCTGTGTTTAATAATCTGCTTAAAACTTTTACAACCAACACAAATAACATGGGGATATAAGAGGTAACCTTGCCTCAATCCCTTTGATGCCTGAAAAAACGGTTGAAACTACATTTTCAATAAAAAAAGAAAATGAAACTGAACAGGTGCAAGCAAACATCCAGTTTATTGACCAAAAAAAAATCAGTTTCTCCACTTGCCCCATAACCCATCCTTGAAAGAACCTCCTCCAAAAACCTCCATTCCACATGATAAGCGCATTTTCAATATCAGTTTTGCAAATTACACCCACCACACTACCTCTAATTCTTGCATCCAAACATTTACTTACAATCAATACCCCATCTAAAACTTGCCTTCATATTTAAGTAGGGCCCACAATTAAATGCAATACCATCTTTAACCTTGCCGATAAAACCTTTGCAATAATGTTATATGGACTAGAGGTTAAACTAATTGATCTAAAATATTTCACCCTACGTGCCCCTTCCACCCTGGGAATTAGAGAAATAAAGGTAGCATTTGCACTCTATTCAATCATTTTGGCTTCCCATAACCCCTTAAACAGCTCCATAAAGTCCCCTTTGATAATGCTCCAACAAGATTTAAAAAATGACAAATTGAACCCATTCAGACCTGATGCCTTCTTCCCACTCATTGTTTTGACAACCCCCTACACCTCCTCTTCCTCAAGTTCTCTCTCCAACCATAACTTCAACTCATCATCAATCCTATTAAACTCCACAAAACTGGGCTCCATCAAATCATTTCTTATAAACTCCCAAAATCCCTCATTTTTTTCTGATAAGTAAAATCAAGTTTTATTTAATCAATGACTGAAAGCATTAGAGGCAGTACAAGCATCACTTGGAGAGGCACAAGATGCTACCTCTCCCAAGAAAATTACGTATTACACTTGAGCCCAATACAAACCATTTTTATTCACCCCTTGCTTAGCTAAAGCATCAGTCATTCCATTAGCCGATCTTCTCACCCACTATATCCTCACATTCATATTCCTAGTAAGTCATTTAAATCTCTTGATCTCATCTCTAAAGAACCAAATTACAGAATCAAGCTCCATCAACCATCCCACCACCCAAAACCTGTCATTTCTTCTTATAACTTTTTAATTATGCACAAAACTATTCCCTTTTACTATATAAAGCAGATACTTGCCTTGGATTTAGTGCAGGTCATATCATAGAGGTTAACTTATATTTTTACCCTTTTATCTTTACTTTTCTCGTTCTTGCTCACATGCATAGTGTGTGCCGTTACACTAGTACTTTTAAAATTTTTTTAATGATAAAATTACCCTTAATATGCATGTTCAAAGAGAATAGACTACAATATCCACCCCAATCAACAAAACTAAAAAGATAGTCTAATCTGACTTTAGGATAGTGACCATCCAGAATTTCAGGAAAAAAAATTAAGCTCTTATCCCAATAAGGTCTAATTAGACTCCAGACGTATCAGACTTCCAAATTCCACCTAATAGTTATCACCTGACAATGTAACAATCACAATTGAAAAAAAAGAAGATAGTCATGTATAAAATTATATGAATGACCCAAACACAGACGCACCTCTTTTTTCTTTTCTCGTTTGCTCTTCACCTCATGAAAAGGATCTAAACAGTGGAAAAAAGAAAAGCAAATTAGAACAAGTTTCAGAAGCATTGACAATGTTGAAATTTCATGCATCTCTCTCCACAACTGTGAACCCAGAAAATCTCATGTATTAGTGTGAAATTCCAGTTCAAAGTGGCAAAAATATATAGAGAAAAGGTAGATGAAATTGAAATTAGAGTTGAAGTCTTCTAGAACATAAAATTTGTTGTTCGCTAATAAATTGCTGGCATTTAGTTATCACAGTAGCTAAAATTAGATGAAACTATAAAGTGCTCTAAAGTAGGGCAACTAAAGCATAGAGAGTTTCTAGAAATTGAGGTACAAGGCAAGGCATATACGATAAGTGAGGCACCACTTTTGAAGGGCAACAAAACAAAAACTTAAGATACAAGAATATTCAAATTTAGATTCTGAAAAAACATAAATACTTCAAAAAACATGTTATTAACATGAAGTCTGAGTCCTTGTACATTCAAGTCCTAATAAGCTAAATTGTTTTAACTACAAACATCATAGGTATGATGATGCATTGTGAAAGAAGAAATCAATGTTTATTTGCATTGTTGAACCAAAAACAATTTCATAATTTTTGGATGATTTAGATTTTGGTCTTCTTTTAGTTTTTTTTTTTTTTAATTTATCTTCTAGTTTGTCAGTGGCTTAGGAATGGGATGAAATGTTTTAGAGGGTCAAATTAGCAATAATAGCATGAAAAGTTCTATTAGAGAGTTTTTAGAATTTTGAAAGTTAAAGATGCAATTACGCAACTTTTCTTTCACCCTATTTTTCAAGGGCTAAAATTTTATCTGTTTTACATGATTTTGGTGTCATTAGATAGGTCATTAAGTTATCCATCCAACAAAACCAACATCTTGTAGCTCAGATATGCTTTGAAAAAGCTACGGTAGTTTTTTCTTTTTTTTTTAAATAAATAAAAAGAAAATTCTATTGAAAAGAAAGGAGATACAAAGAAAGTGACAAGATATTACCCACAACAAAAGGCAAAAATAATAACCCAAGAAAATCAAACCCCTCCAAAACCCTTTGCAATACAAAAAACATTTCCTCTTCCTTAACCCCAACAAATCAAAAGGTTTTTGCCTGCTCACCTAAAAGAACTCAATGTTTGCTCCCAACGTAAACCAAACACAACCCTGCATCAGCCCTTGCTCATCGAGGTTCCACAAAAGATATTTCCTCATTCATCAGAAGACTTCCCCTCTGATTCCCAAAACGCTTTTTTTGCAAAACCCTTCCATCCTAAAAACAAAATCCCCAACAACTTGCTTACTTGAACTTCAGTTTCCACCATCTTTTCTAAATCTACCTTTCTCTCTATCTTTCTAACTCGATCTACAACCACCTCCTCACCTTCCTCTTTCCTTCCTTAGACTTTTTCTTCTAGATCAACCTCCTCCCCCACCGAGGTCCCCTCTCCTACCTCACCAACTTCTTTATCAATTTCAGGAATATAGCTCAACTTCGAACAATCTTGGGTCTGACTTGTGGTTGCCTTTCCAATCTCCACTCTATCCCCACAAATCTTGTCTTTCAATTTTTTTCTTCTATACTCAGACCTGCTCCAGTGAGGCCTTCTTTCAACCTGGAAAAAACCATAGTAATATGAACCAACTGTATTGTTAGACTCCTTCAATTTTTTTGAAACAATTGGATCTTTAATTTTGGAAATATCTACTCTCACCCAGCACTCATTTTCTACCTCCGATCTCAACCTACCCAAATCTTTCCCCAGTTTTCCAATTATTACTTATGAAAACATTAACTCCCCAGGCCCCACCTCCTCCAAGTTTTCACTCTCCTTCCTCCTTTCTTCAGCTACTGCAACTGAGATGTCCCCCTACCTTCTGATCGTGTGATATATCTTTCTTATGAAACTCATTCCTCTCTTGGATTTAATTCAGTCAATACAAAATCTTCTCCCAGGCTTAGAGATTTATCCCCAACCTCTTTTCTACCTCGCAAACATCTGGGAACCTCAAAGAGCTTATCCAACCTCAGCTCTGAAGAGCCAGGTTACTTTCTTGAACAAACTTCATCACCACCCACTCCCAATTACCAATCTCTTTAGTCTTTTCTGTTTTTCCTCAGAAATACTGCTACTGTAGTGCTTCTTGACTAACATCCCTTCCCATCCACTCGAATACTTGATCCCTAACCAATTCTTCAAAAAACAAATTTCTCAAACCTTGCCATCTGTGTTTTCCCCCTTGCAACTGATTCAGGGAAGAAGATGACACACTCAAGGCTATGTTAATTGAAGCATCCAGACCATCCCCCCACCCCCCACATGATTCTTTAAAGAGTCACCTGACTTTATTTCAACAGTCTTAACCTTATTCAGCCCATCTTTCCAAACAGAAGGCCCACCCAATCCAACCAAGGGCAACCTAACAACCTTCAAAATACCCAAATTTCCTTTCATGTGACCATTTAAGAGGTCACGAGATTCTTCATCAGAAGTCAGCCAATTCTCTCATAAATTCGCCTCAAGCCTTGAACATCCTCTGAGACATCCCCTCTCTCTTGGTTTTTCATCCTCCTACCTCTCGACCCTAACAAGGCCTCGATTGAAGACACACCAACACTATTGGTCACCACCTCGTCAAGGGGCCAATTCTCTCATAAATTCGCTTCAAGCCTTCAACATCCTCTGAGACATCCCTTCTCTCTTGGTTTTTCATCCTCCTGCCTCTCGACCCTAACAAGGCCTTGATTGAAGACACACCAACACTATTGGTCACCACCTCGTCAAGGGGCCAATTCTCTCATAAATTCGCTTCAAGCCTTCAACATCCTTTCTCTCTTGGTTTTTCATCCTCCTGCCTCTCGACCCTAACAAGGCCTCGATTGAAGACACGTCAATGCTATTGCTCACCACCTCGTCAAGGGGCCTGCCTCACGCCGCCCCAACTCCTCTTTCAAATAACACTTTCTTCTCCCTGCCTCTGCCCTTTTGCTTGTCCCAGGTTCTCATTGGTTAATTTTGGGCCAAGTGGCCAACAGCATTTGAACTGATCACTTTTAACCTGCCACGTAGCATCTCATCCTCCAACCTTTCATCTTCCTCCCTGCGCAGTGCGCACTTCCCTCCACAGACCAGCTTCAATAGACGTTGCTAGCCAAGCACGACAAGAGATGTCATCTACTAGAATCTCAACTTTTCTTGGAATATCAGCTGGCTTTACCACATTCAACAATAGAGTGGCAGAGTGAAGATCCACCCTAAAAACACCAACTAAACAACCATTACAAACTGAGGCAATTGACTGAAAGTAATCTTGCTTCCAGAGGTGAATGATAGACCTATAACTCTAACCACTATGCCATCTTCTAAATCTAAATGTTTTGAGTCAGATAAAGGACACCACCTGGAAATCATAAAAGCCCCCATCTTAAAATGAAGATTCATCACTCAACTTCCACGTTGTCTTCCACTAAATCCAGCAAAGACTTCCATTTCTCAAATGGAGTGATTATCACAGTACCCTTCAAATTCAAGCCCTTTTAACATAACGTCAGGCTACCTTCCTCCAATCACTTACATCCTCCCCCGCTTCAACCACCAGCTTGCTAATGCAATCCTCCTTCCCAGCATTAAAAGCCAGTTTGTAGGTACTATTCATGTTCGCTGCAATCAAGAAATTTGGTGCAAGACCATCTCCTCTAGACGTAATTTCAATCCCCTTTTCACCTTCTTTTGGCTTTTTTGTTTCTTCAGCCAAGTGTGTTAAGAAACCCTGCAAGACATGAGAAACTGCCCCCCCCCCGACCTTGGCCCAGCAGTCCAGCTGTTTCCTTTCAACATGAAAGAACTGAAAGAGAGCTATGAATCTTCCTTTTAGATTTTTCCTTGTTTCAGCAACATACATTTTTCCTTCTTCCATCATCACGCTTTTTAAACCATTTTCCCACTGGAAAACCTTACCTCTTCCAGAAAGTTCTCATGCCATTTCAGTATTTCAGCACCTACTAACAACAACATCATCATTGTTAGCTCCCTAATCTTCAAGGTCATCTTCCCATTGCATCTTAACTCTTCAAACAATAGGTTCTTTGCTTCAATCTTCAAAAATCTCCTCATGGAAGAGAGGAGATTTTAAACCATGGAATTCTAAATTTCACTGGAATAGGAAGTAATGATAGGGTGTTGGTCTTTGATAGGATTTCACTCTTTCTATTTTCTTGTTGTCTCTTAGAATTGGATTTTGTTTGTTTATTTTTAGTAGGATTACTAATGGGTAATTATAGTTGATGTATAAGTTATAATCTATATTTAAGTGCCCTTATGGGTTATATGTGGGTTTAATTCTAAAGAAATTAGACAACTTCTGACCAATTTTGTAAAAAAAATATATAAAGGCCCATATGTTGATTCCATAAATAGTCATTGTAATTGAAATTTAGAAAAACTTGATTTGATGAATGAAAGTTTTTTTCCGGTGAATTCTGGTTGTGGCAAGTTCTCTCTCTCACTTCTGTTTTCTTCCAAGTGATCTCTTTGCTGTCTATTCCAACAACAAGAATTCTTCTCTTCACCTTAGAAAACCCACCACAAGATCTGAAAGTTGTAAGAAACCTACCATCATACAACCTTCAAAATGGTTAAATTACATGTTCAACAACAAGCGCAAGGTTGATTGTGAGCCTATGTACACCTTTAAAACACTGTAAGGCATTTTAATGGTAGAGAACTGGGAGAAAAATAAGCAAGAGACAGTGAATTGGGGATGATAGAGCTTCAAAGTGAGACTGTGAGAGTGGTGGATGTTTCTCTGTTGGTCTTTCTTCACTTTTTGGCCCTTCAGGAGTTCTTGTTTCTCCACCAGGGTTCCATGGGCTGTGGAATGAGCCCATTCCTTCCTTCAAAGTGCAATCTTGAAGAACTTTGCAGTGGACCACTTAACAAATCATGGAAAGCTAATGATGATGTGTGTAGACCATGTAAAATGTTAGAAAAGAATGTAAATCAATCTTCTTAACCAATACAAATGTTCATGGAGATTGTAGGGCTCACCCCTTCAGATGCTTGATGGGCCACCAACTTCCTGAGTGGAGTCAATAATGATTATAGTTGCAAGTCGGATAATATGTGTTATTCAGAATATTGATGGGGCATTTTGCATGGATGGAGCCTTTTGGAAGGTTGTTACTACACGATAAATTTAGCTCTTTAGAATAGGTGGAGGCTCGGGAAAGAAGGGTTTTTGTCTTGGAAAATCCTATCTTAATAAACCATAAGCAGGCATTTGGTTTGCTATAGGTAAGTAACTTATCTACTATATCAACTGACCATCAGTAGAAAAGTGAAAAGGCATGTTTAGTTTCCCATATATAAAATGTCTTTATAAGTAAAGAAACTTACTTTTGCATTATGACTGACATGTGATAGGTTACTTTTTGATAAGCAACCATAAACCTACTAACGAACCAAACAACATATAAGAATGTAATATCATGATATTCCCCTCCTAGTCATATGATTCTATCACAGTAGTTACTAAGACGATCATTGCATTCATGCTGATGTCAGCTTCTCTATTATAACTAAAATATGAAGACCCATTTTCAACAATGTCCTCAAATGAATTAATTGATAGATAAAATAAGTTAATGAAGTTTACTCAATAATTCCTTATTTTTCTTATAGCCAATGAATGTTAATTAAAATTTGTTAGGTAAAAGACTAAAAGTCAAACATTAAAAGTAAGCCAAGTGTGTAAAGATCTTCAGTTAATTACAAACAGCATGGTACACCATCAAACAAGGCAAATTCCATGCCTGAACAAGCTTAGTGCAAGGGGTACCTAGAGCTGATGGGCAAGGCAAATTCCATGCCTGAACAAGCTTAGGTGCCACTTTTGAAAAGAAAAGAAAAGAATCAAACTAGAAAACATTGTATACTGTGTTCCGAAAGCAAGAAGTGCAAGCAAAGTGCAAGGGGTACCTAGAGCTGATACAGTAATACACAAGGCACAAGGCAAAGCTATGCCTGAACAAGCTGAGGTACCACTTTTGGAAAAGAAAACAAAAGAAAAACTTAATATATGCAAATCCAAATTCTACAACAAATAAAATACTTTAAAAAGCCTTGTTAGTTCAATAGAGTAGAATGTCACATCATCAACACATAGGTTGTAGCCTTGTAAACTTCATATTCAACATCAATTTCAGGGTTAAATTCATAAAAAACAAAGCAACAAGTTACGAGAGGTGAACCTAGGTTCAGGCAACACACTAAAGTCTCACCACTGAGGCTAAGGGTGCCTGTCAAAACACTGGTTATATTACCAAAAAGTAAAATAAAACCAGCAGAGAATCCTTAAAATCCTCATAATATTTAGCTGATTTATCGCCCTTCTTGTGGATAATCAAGACTATGGCAGGGAGAAGAAAAAGAGAAAAGGCTAACAGAACACATACCAAGAAATTTTCAAAAACATGCAGTTCTATAGATTGCCACATAAATTAAAGGTTACATACAAAATGTCAAAGCCTGGTTTGCTCACCATATTAAAAAAAAAAATAAAAAAAGTTTTTGACAAATGTTGACATGAAAAAAGAATATATAGAATGATATTAACAAGATGGGCATACAAAAGCAGAATTGATATCTTCCCCAAGAGTGTTAGATATTGTGGCAATGGCAAAAACATTTTTCTCACTTCCCGTAAACAAAACAGGGAAGAGAACCATGATATAATAGCATATCAACATGAGCAATTAGAATTAATCCTTCAGTTAAAGTCACAACAACCAAAGACGTTTAACAAGAAACCACGTACATATGAATAAATACACAAAAAGATCTCCGTGTAGGTCAAAGCTCAATCCCAAGGCGAAGATATAGTCTTCCACTTTGAAAAAGGGCATCACTAATAAAAACGAATAAAATCAATAAATTTGCCATCAAGCTGATCTTGGTCGAGCTAAACTCGAGTATGGTTCACTAATGGAGATCAAAAGAAAAAATCCCACCTTGCAACCACGGTCGAGAGAGGTTCTTTCGCTTCCGCACAAAAAAAAAAAGGAAAGGAAATCAAAACTACGGCCAAGCACTACCCAATAGAACACGAAACAAGATAAATAACAAAAAAAAAAACGATCCCAACCTTGCTTGTCACTTAACCATAAACGATAGTTATGAAGAAACAAAAGAGACTAACTAAAGAACAATTTTTCACGAAAATCGCAGAAATAAAAACAAGAAACAAGGAATGAAAAAGTAAAAGGCGCAACAGAAAGGTTTTGCGATAAACCTTGGGAGAGCAGCCTGTGAACGGTATCGTTAGGGTCCATGTTACATTCTTTGAGCATAGCGTAGATCTCATGTTCAGGGTAGTTTACAATCTCCTTTAAGCTCTGAACCATCTTCCTCGACGCTGCCGGGATCGATGGAACCCCATTATTGCCCTTCCCATTAGTGTTAGTACTCGCTCCGCTGCTCATACTCTCTCCCTCGCTGTCTCCCCTGAAACTTCGCGACTCTCGCAATTCAGATCGAGAGGAACACACTGGGTGTCTCGCCTCGCCGCTCGTTCAGTTCTGCAGAATACTTCGCTGTTACGAGAAGATATCTCATCTAAGCTCCCCTTCCACACGAAAACCCTCTCTTCCCCCTCTCTCTTCCCCCTCTCTCTCTCTCTCCCCCTCTAAATCTCTCTATATATGTATTCTCTTTGTTTTTCTCTCTTCCCTTTGTGCAGTTCTTTACTATCGGTTTTCGCCTTTCGGGAGAGCCGAATAGTGGATGAGGGACCGTTTAATATAGGCTGAAGTAGCTTAATTGCTTAAATGATTTAGGGGTGATCATTTCCAGCCCTGCCCCGTCCATTAGGGCTGTTCGTAGCAAGACTCAAACCGACTTAGATATATATTATATATATAATATATTTCAGTATTATATATATATCTGATATATTTCAGTTTTACTATATATATATATTTCAGTTTTAATATATATTTTAGATATATATTTGTGGAAATATATATATTTCAGCTTTATTTCAGAAATATACATATTATATATAAAATTTCTTATATATAAAATATCAGTTTTAATCCATCAAATTATTTATAATTTTCAGGCATCCAGCCTTTGCTTTCTTAGACTTGAATCATTTACCATTCACACCGAGATAATCATTCACAAAACCGACCAGGTCGGTTTTACTTAGTACTGGATCAGTTTCGGTTTCATTTCTAGGTAAACCAACCAGGTCAGGTCAGTTGGAAAAATGCCAGTAAACCGACCCAACCTGATCCATGAACAATCCTACCGTCCATCGGTTCATGCTCCCAGCCCAGAATATATTGATAAATAATGTATTATACAATTATACGATATAATTCATTGTATTATATAAATTATAACATATATTTATATTTTATATAACATATTGTAAAATTATAATATAAAAGTCCATATAAATTTAATATATATATATATATTAAATATATTACATTAGCCCAAAACCTGGACCCAACCATAGCTTATATTTCAGGCCCGGGATTGGTAACGGGCTAGGCAAGCTTAAGATAAAATCCTTATCAAAGCCTTATAATAGGTATAAAGCCCAACAGGCCTATGCCCAACCATTGTGTGTGTATTTAGTACCATTGTTGCTTCATTGTGTGTGTGTGTTTGGTATCATTGTTGCTTTTACTTAAAATGTTTGGGGTTGGCCAAGACAATTTTATGAGACAAGTTGTAGAACTAGATTACATGATCCCAATGATCAAGCTTTAAAGATACAAGGCAGTGGTGATTGGAGATTAGATGAGATGAGAGAAGAGAGAGAGAGAGAAATGGTTATAATGTTACCGAAAATGGCATTGAGGATATAGTTGGGGAGCCTTGGTGAAGGTTGGGCTCAATCTAGCTAGCCTTGGTAGATCCACGAAGAACAAAGTGACAAAAGGGAAAGGCAATTGGAGTTGAGGCTGGGAAGAAGGCCACCAAGGCCAAAGTTGAGTCACAGGAGAAGAAGGTCATCCCATGTAAGAGGGCCGGCCCTAGGCCCTAGGAGAGGATCAAGGAACTAAGATTTGCTTACCGAAGGAAGGGATTGTTTGTGACCACACCACAACACACCCCCTGAGTCCCTGACACAGCATACTCGTTACTCCTTCCTCAATATCGATTGAGGGCCTGGCCTCTCCAACCCAAGTCACGATAAAGTAGCCTACCTCTCTCCAAACGGTTGTAGTACCACCTCTAAGGGTCGGTGAGAGAAGTGGACAACATCAAGAACAAGAGCATCACTTGGGAGTTGGCCAAATGGTTATGTCCTTCATGTGATAGAAAGTCCCTCACTATCAAGGCAACCAATTTCTTGATAAACATGGTTTTGGAGAATGATGTTGAGGAGGTAAGAATGATTATGCCTTATATTTTTACTTTTATTCCGTGATGATCGAATGACTAACACATCTTCAATGTAGGTCCTCCTAGCGATCGTCAGGCTTTAGTATGGTTATGTTGGTCGCCACAGTTAGTCATCAGGGTCGATTAGTCGATCTTTGTTAGTATGACAACCTCGGTGCCAAATGTGAGGTCAAAGGGTGTTTCTCCAATAGATAAGCCTTTGGTTCGATTCAATATAGTCTTCAAGATATGTAGTATGGTTATGTTGGTCACCACAATTTAATTGTTCATTTGTGGGTAGCCATCTAATGTGAATCGTTTCTCAATTCCAAAGCTATAATAGAAGTCCATGAATTTTGAGTCATTGAATTGGTAGTTATTATTTGTGATCAATATATGAGGTAGGACAAAGTGACAAATAATGCTCTTTTATAAGAAATTCTAATATTTTTGGTAATGACATGCATTAAAGGCTCAACTTTGACCCACTTCATGAAATAATTAATGGCCACTATCAAGATTTTCTTTAACCCATTGTTAGGGGAACAATCATAGTATGTCCATTCCCAACTGTGTAAAAGGCCATGAATTATTGATAGAAGTGAAAAAGGTTGTAGGCTAATGTGGTACATTGGCATGTCTTTAGCATCGGTTGCATTTTTGAATGAATTGAACTACATCCTCTTTCATTGTATGCTATAAACAATCATGCCTTAGAGCCTTATGGGCAAGGGCCTTGCCCCCCTCCCCCCTAAACGATTGCCATAGAGACCTTCATATATCCACTTGATGATGCAATCTCCTTCTAACTTAGGTACTTCAAGTATGACAATGTGAATGACCTTTTCCATATCTTATATTTATCAATGCATATTGAGCCAACTGTTGTATAGTCTTTTAAGCTTTAACATTGTTTTTAGATAGGTTGCCATGGGTAGGTACTCAAAGACATGATCCATCCATCTCAGTTCAAACTAATTTGGGTAAATAACTTTTCCTGGTACTTTGATGTTGGAATGAGGCAGTTCTTCTACAAACACTAACATGCCAAGATCTGATCATATTACTATTATCATTTTTAGTAGCTATTTTCTTCACTAGCAGGGAAGAATAATTTACTAACGGGATAAAAAAAAAAGGGTTAAGACGTACATACCTTCATAGTTTACACCATACAAAGAAAGAGTAGCAACGTACCCCTTGATCCACCCTTCAGAAACTAAAATAATAAAAAAAGTAAAGGGTTTGAGCATTACCTAAGACTTCAAGATGCTTTGTCACATTCATTTTTGGTCATCATATTACCCTTTTTTTTTTACTTTTGTTAGTTTTAGTTCAAATATGTTATCATGTTAAACCCGCTGCCTTAGGTGTATCTAAGTCGATGCTTGGTCGCTAGCTCTAAATTTCTTGCAATGATGTATTAAAAACTCTATCAATAACAATGGATTGAGTTCTTATTAAGAGTTTATGAACAAAGAAAATTTTAGTTCCAAGTCCATAAGTAATAAAGCTAAGTATAAAATTTATTTGAATTATCATTCAAGTGAATTTGCATTGATTGATGGAGACTAGGTTATAAATGTTTAGAGAGAGAGGGGGGAGGGGAGGCTGTCAACTAGTCTTTGGTTGGAATGTATGCTTAGATTTTGGAATGCAGAGTTTCCTAGCAATGAAACCTTAGCACAATCGATGACTTTAACTAGTAGATTGGTGGAATTGTGGAACTATTCAAAATAAAACACAAGTTTAGGAAACCTTGTCGAAGAGGTTTCGAAAGGGGAAAAGAAAAATAAGATGGGCGTGAAAGAAGGGTTTTAGGAGGAAAGTAGAAAATTATGGCAATCTCTCTTTTTTCTATGAGCTAGGCCTAAACCAAAAAATCTGTGCATAGGCCTAGGATTTATGGACTTGGCCGAGCTGAGTTTTTAGGTCAAGCAGCCCTAGTAGGGATGATCATGAGTGGGGTTTAGTAAGGTCTCAATGATGTTTATGGCTTCCTTAGCCTAACATGGGTGCAGGTTTGGCATTCGCGCTTAGTCGTATTAGAAAGCCCTTAATTAATTATTTATTTATTTAATGAAAAATTAATAAATAAAGATTTAATTATTAGTTAATAATTAATATAAAATAGAAAACATCATTACTTAATTAATTATTAATAAAAATCAGTTAAAATAATATTTAATTAATTAATAGTATTTAGTGGGGCTAATCTACCCCTACTAGGGGTTTTTGGATTGGGCAACCCTAGTAGGGATGATCATGAGTCGAGTTTTAACAAGGTATCTATGATGTTTATGGCTGCCCAGGCCCAACCTGGGTGCAAGCCGAGCATTCATGCTTAGTTGTGTATTAAAAAGCCCTTAATTAATTAATTAATTAATAATAAGTATTTAAAAGTTTATGCTAGGGCCCAACCCTGTATGGGTTCCAAGCCTAAAACATAGGCTGGGGCCTGGCCCTACACATGCTTGGGCCTAATTAAGTCTTTTAAAATATTACATATATAACATTTTATATTAAATATGGTATATAATATGCATGTAATTAATTAAATAAATTTTACACATTATGTAATATAAAATATTATAACTATCATATTATAATATATATGTATAATAGTATCACATAAGATAACATATATACTTATGTATACTTTGTGTACAAACTATACATATATTTAAATATATGCAGGGTTGGGTTAGGCTTGAAATATTAGGCACCTGGCTGACCTTGAAATTTGTGGGCTTGATGTGGACTTAGGCCCAAGTGGGCCTAAACATAAACCCCATTCTCAAGTTTGGAATTTCTTAGGTGGGATAAGCTGAAATGATCACCCTTGTGCAATTTCATTCTTCTATAATTTATAGCCACATTATAGTTAAAATACGTAGCTATAGTTATAAATAGCATTTAGCCACGAACAATAAGCTTGTAGTTAATTGTTAATTTTATTCATATACAACAATCCGTGGCTATACATAGATTTAAGCCATAAACAATATGACCGTAGCTAAAGGTCAATTTTTAACTTTAAATGTTTTATGTATGTGGCACTATCCCTTGTTTTAACTACAACTTTTGTGTACATAGCTACATTGTAGTAGATACAGACCCATTTTCTTGTAGTGGTGTATTGTGAAAGCCTATAAATAATAAATAAATAAATAAATAAAACTACTGCAAAAAATTCAAAATTGTTGATGTTGTGTGCATGGTGCATATACCTCTAAATTATTGCACAAATTAAATCTAAAATGATTTATTATTTTAAGCTTCTAAGCTTTTCTAGTTTTTTATTTCAACATACTCCATTGATTCAATTTCCAACATTTATAGCTCATTTTATAGTGACAAAGTTCATGAATTTATCCTTTAAATATAGACTCCCTACGACCAGTTATAAAATAAAATTGAATTTTACCCCAAATTATTACAAAATGACTGTTTTCTAGCCACCCAAATTTGACTATCAAATAACTATTTCAATAATACTTAGATTTGTAATGATCGAGTACCCAATTTCTCAAACTCATAACTTTCAATTCAGTTATTTGAGAGTATAACTTACCGTTACGAAGGTATCGTGATACACCATCAATTAGACACAAATTTCAAGCCTTTATATCACTGTATGTCTCCTTTCTAGTGGTCTAAAATTGGCTAATCATTGTTATTTCCGATTTTTCTAAGTTAAGTATATTCAGAATGCCAACTTCCAAAGATCACAACTTTTCACCCCAAAACCCAAATGAGAGTTCTACATATTGTTTTAAAGAGCTCTCCAATAACTATGGTTTGGAATCAAAATTTGGCCAAAGATGTCACTAAAGAGCTGGTTTTTGGTGGCCTAAGGTTAAGTTAACATAATTCACAATTTATAAATCCAAATGCTATAAGATGTGATTCTAATGGTATGGGGTTCTGATTATAATCATTTTCCTTCTGAAAAGTATCCGGAAAAATGATGTTTAACAAAAAATCCTAATTCTTGATTTAAAACTAGTCCTAACATACAATAGAAAGCAAAATCTGATGATTTAAAGAAGAAATAAATTACTTAGATTGATTGCATTATATATTTCAATCAAAATCAATCTCAATTTGAGTTGTCGAGAGATGACTCCCTGCTTTGTTTTATAGAAAAAGAGAAAAAGACTCTTATGTTGAAAGAAGAAAGAAAAAAAGGACTCTATATGTTGAAGGCTAAAGGTTTAGTTTTTATGTTTTTTTTTCGTGTGTTTTTGCTAAGAGTTCCCTCCAAGTTGGAAAATTATAGGGTAGACCCCCAAACCCAAACCCAATTTAATAAATGATATATATAAGCCTTGTAGTTCATTAAATGGATGAGGCTAAACCATTTCCTAGTTATCAAAACTTTATTTTTAAAAATAATTTAAATATAATAATTAAAAAATAATAGTTAAAAATAATTTTATTATTTTGGGACCAAAAGCAAATGGCATACAACTTTATTATTTATAGGAAGCTGAAATAGATGGAGAGAAAAGTTAAAGTCCACATATACACTTCCTTTAAAACCCCAAGAAAATTTGAATTTGAAAAACAAAAAAAAAAGAAATCAATTGGGTTATTGGGTATGATGGAGCACACACTATCCAAAAAATAATGCTTATATATATATATATGCAAGTACTTGTTTTGTACGTGGCAATTCTAGATGATGATAATTATAGTAATAATATATCAAAATTTTATACAAGCTTTATTTATTATTTATTTATTTTTGTTTTTTATTATTATTAATTAGAAGTAGATTGCTCCAAATTTGATTACATAAGCACATTATCCAAATATGTTATAATCATATTGAATTATGAAGTTTCAAGTATCAGGCTATTTTCCTTGGCTAGACTCTTCTTTTTGTAGTGTTTTATCTTTTTGTTGTATCTTTTCTCTTTTATTCATTTATAAAAAAAAATGTAAGATTCAAATAAAGGGAATTGAATGAGGTGAAAAGTAGTAGTTTAATTTACAATTTAAACCCTACAATTAAATAGGGACTAAATTAAAAAATGAGTAATGTAATCAATGTTTTAAAAAACGGACCAGACTGAACGGTTGAACTGTTTGGCTTAAAAACCGATTAGGCCACTGGTTCTGATGAAGGGTGATTTGGCATGACCTAGCAAAAAGGGGACACGTGGGCGCGATTTGATCAAGGGATGAAAACTCAGCCCGGCAAACCTAGTTCGCGACATTTGGAGTTCGGGTATTCAGTCACCTCGGCCTAAAACCCACCTCGATGTAGAGGCACCTCGACACCCAATCCAATTCAAGACTAAAGAATCGAAGTTCCAACTCAGAGCTAATGACCCGAATCGCTACGTAACCGACTCCAAAGGCCTCTCCAACAGACCCCAAATTTCTCGAGATCATGATGATCCAACAAATCCCGAATTTCCCGGGATCACGATGAGAACTCATCCCAGCACTGCTAGAGTCGGAGGTAGAACGATAAGCCTTGTCAACATACTGCTCTCCTTAAAAAATGGAACAAACCTTATCTACACAACCCGGAGATCTTTCGTAGGGCCTACGACTGCTTTAGTATATAAAGACATGAAACCTCAAGGAAAATGTACGAGTGATTACTCAACTCACTGGCACTCAATCTTTCAAGTATTCAGATCGCATTCATAGCATAAGTATTGACTTAAGCATCGGAGTGACCTCGTCGGGTTAGCTACCCCAGGTTCTCAGATCCACTGTTTTGCAGATTGATCCAGTTTGTCGCCCAATTGGAGTTCGGATCGCCATCCAGCTAGGAATAGCCAGATCGTGCACCACCAAGTTCCATTTGGCCCTGAACCACAATTTTACAAAAAACCATTGAAATGGTCAAAGAATTGCTGACTTTGATAGTTTAACCATTAAAATGTTTGAACCAGCTAATGGTTCTCAAGTTGCTTTCAAACTAATTCCAAATTTTTATTTATTTTAAAATAGAAACTATAAAATAAATAAATTGAAAAAAATAAAACTTTCATATGTTATAATCTTGTTCGATTATTCCCAATGACCAAAATTAGTTAGGGTTTTTTGTTTTTTTTTTTTAATTTTTTTTTTGAGTTTTTTCATTTCTACAACTCTTTTTAAGTTATAATAGCAAAAAACATTGCAACTCAAATAAAGAAATCGAAAAATCGATGCAAAAAATGAAAAAAATAAACATTGATCTTATATTAAAAGTTGAGATGCATCAATTAAACAAGCCATTTGAGACTTGAGAGAGATTTAGAAATAAAAGAGATATAAAAATATGGCAAATGATGATGTAGTGGCAGTGATGATTTTTTTTTTGAAAGGTTCTAATTATATTAAAAAGAACAAACATTAACATAGTCTTCTACCCTTGGTATCCCGTCTTGATAATCATTACAAGCAAAAGAGGATAAACGGTGTGCTTTATCTAGCTGGGATACCTTATGGGAAGGGCTATTAAACTTTCGATACACAAAAGAGTAGTTCACATTTCTAAATTTTAAAGATAAAGACCTAGTCCTAGACAAAAGCCAAAGGCAGGACCAGGGAAGATCTGTGATGAAGAGCCTGCACAACCTGTTCAGCATTAGTGTATATACAAACTTCTTGACGATTCCAGCTTGAAAGTTCTAGTAACACTTGCATGATAGCATAAAGCTCAGCTTGAACAACTGAGGATACTTGATTAGTTCTGCCACCCATAATTTTTAAACATGAAAGACTAGATAGAATAATGAAACCATAACTGTATAAAGTGTCTGAGATTTTTCCTGCATCAGAGAATACAATGAGGTATGTTGTATAACTGATGGTGATAGGGAATTTGCCCATAAAGTCCCTTATTGTTGAGGAAACAAAGTTATCTAGATGAGAATTAGGGGGTATGATTGAGTGATTAATTTGATGAAGAAGATTAATAGGTTGAATCACCCTATTCCTAAAGCATATTTCATTCCTGGCATACCAAGTATAATAAAAAGGTAGTAGCAATCCAACTTCGCATGTTTATAAACAAAGAAATCTCTGCTACTTGGGTATAGAGGTTTTGAATACTAGAAGCCCATGAACCTTGAAGTATATTTTGAAAGTTTATGTTCCAAGGATTACCAAATAAAACAACTTGAGTATAAGGACAGTTTAAGAACAAATGAACTGTAGTTTCTACTTCCAACTCACAAAGAACACAAATTTTTTTATTATTTTCCAAACAGATAATCTCTTTCACAAGAACAAAATAATTCAGAATTCTCCATAAAAAAATGTTGGAATTGAGGGGAAATATTAACTTCCAAAGATTTCTGACATAGAAACTAAGATTTGGAGAGATATGTGAATTTGAAGTATTCGGTTTGGTTATATATTCTCTTTTTGTAGTAAACTTACCAGAAATATGAGGAAGGCAAATCCATGAAGTAAAATTGATGCTCAGAAAGATGGGGGTTTTCAAAATTTGAGTAGTTTCATTCGGGGAAAATAGAGCATTTATAAGTTCAAAATTCCAATGGCCATTTTGGATTAGCTGGGAAATATTCACATGTCTAAGATGAGGAGATATGGGAAACGGTACCCAAGAGAATTGGTTTCTTTTGAATTCGAGGTCTTTGTTTTATTGGGAATGAGGAATTCTCATTTACTAAAGCTCCACATTCAGAAGCTAGATCAGTAAGCATAGGTCCTATGGCCTTCCAAAAGATAGACCTTGTAGAGGTAACATAATAAGGAAAAAGATTATGAGCTTTGAGGTATTTTGATTCCCAAATTTGTGCCCATAGCTTATTTTGTTCATTAATGAATTTCCATGCCACTTTTTTAAGGAGACCTTGATTGAACAGGTTTAGATTCTTGAATCCCAAGCCTCCTAAAGCTTTAGGTAGGATTAGAGTGCTCCAAGTACACCATCGGTAAGGATGGGTCCTTGAATTAGAAACTCCCCACCAAAATTTTATAATTAAATTCTCCATTAGGCCAATAGTTTTTCCGAGAAACTTGATTAGGGACATATCATGAATAGGAATTGCTTGGAGAATAGATTGAATTAACACTTTTTTCCCCACTTGACTGATGGCTGTAGTTCTCCAGTTATTCAGTTTTTCTTTTAGATTATCTAAGATAAAATTTAACCGAGCATGTTTATTCCTAGACCAAAAGAGGGGCAAATCGAGATGTTTAGAATTCTTTGACAAGGGTCCCATTTTTAATTGTCTCCTAATTAACCTTTGGAGTCTCGGATGGATATTTTTACTACAAAAGACCCCCAATTTATCCATGTTAATCATTTGACCAGAAATATTCTGAAAAGAATTTAAAATCTGGAGGAGATTATCTAATTCTTCCCTATGTGCTCTTATGAAAATCATAACATCATCTGCAAAGAACAGGTGGGAGATTTTGGGAGAGGATGAGGAGATAGGTATGCCTTGAAATTTTCTCTCATACTCAACCTAATAGAGGAGTCTAAAAAGGCCCTCCATGGCTAGGATAAAGAGGTAAGGAGATAGAGGATCTCCTTGTCTTAAACCCCTAGAAGGGTAGAAATGTCCATCGGAAGTACCATTGATAAGGAGAGAGAAGGAGACAGTGGAAATGCATTCATTGATTAGATAACATAAGTCATCTGAGAACCCAAGAAGGGAACAGATTTGTAGAAGGAATTTCCACTCTAGCCTATCATATGCTTTAGACAGGTTGAGTTTCAGTCCAATGTATCCTGTACCTCACTTTTTATGTTTTTCCATTTCTTGAGTAATTATTGAGTTCTCAAACATTTGTCTTCCTAGGACAAAAGCCATATGATTGGGTGAAATGCATTTGTCTAAAATAGTACGAAGGCAACTAGCTATTACTTTTGCTATAATTTTATAAATGACATTACAAAGGCTGATTGGTCGAGTCCTGAACCTTTGTACAATCAACTTTTTTGGGTATAAGACAAATAAAAGTGTAGTTCACCCGTTTTAGGAGTTTTTTGTTTTGGAAAAACTCTTGGACCACTAAAACTAAGTCAGGGCCCATCAAATCCAAAAAATCTTTGTATACTATTGTTGGCAATGCCATCTAGACCTGGGGACTTCAGACTTCCAATACTGAAAAGGGTTGATTTGACTTCTTCACTTGTGGAAAAAGATATAAGCATGGTATTTTCATCCTCTATTATGATTGGACTGATTACATGGGATAAATTTCCTAAATCTGGAGGATCTTGAGTTGAATAAGATTCGAGAAATAATCTAAAAAAATCTGGGAAATTTCTTCATGCTCATTCTTCTAGTTATTTTGTTCATCCTTCACTCATTCAATAAAGTTTCTTTTTCTTCTAAATAAGGTACTCTTATGGAAGAAGCTTGTGTTTCTATCTCCTAGTTTGCTTGGTCATATTCTTTATACAGGTTGTTTAGATCAGTAGGAACTCTTTGTTGTTCAGCCTGTAAGATCTGAGCATCCACATCCTTTATTTTAACTCTGGGCTCTATAAAAGATGATTTCCTCCAACTAATAAGGATGCACTTTAGAGAGTCCAGTTTTTTTGTTACTTTATAAGCTGTATAACCTGTGACAGAAAGATTCCACCCATCTTCTATTATTTGCTTACAGGTACTATCAGCTAACCACATTTCAAAAAAGCGAAAAGGTTTTGGGAGGCAAATTAAAGAGGGAGATATATTTAAAATGAGGGGATGATGGTCCGACCCCCATTTGGTTCTTAGAGAAAGAGTTGCATTAGGAAAATAAGATAGCTAATTAGGAGAGACTACTGCCCTATCAAGAGTTCTTTGTATATGTCCAGCCCTTCTTTTATTATTCCAAGTAATTCCACCTCTCTGAATGTTCATTTCTAATAAGTTCTGATCTAGAATAAAATTCCTATATTGTCTAGAGGAGAAACTGAAAGCATTAGTAGAGATTGAAGGCTTAATGGAATCCACTGAGGCTGTTTCATTAAAATCACCAATTAATAAGGTAAAGAAACCCCCTATAACTATAAATTAAGATCTAGCCAAAATTTATTTCTCTAATGTGTACCTTGTGGACGACAACAAAACAATAACCTCAAAACCCTTTTTCCAAAGGACAGTTACGCCGCCTGCTCTTCCTTCAGGATTAACACTGACACAGTTAGGATATCGAAGAGTATTGGCTAAAAAATTAATTTTGTCATCTAGGATTTTTGTCTTGCATAGGATTATGATATCAGGATTGATGGGGTAAACAAAATCCCTGAGTCCTGAACTGCCTTATGAAGCCCAACCCCACGATAGTTCCAACTGAAGATAATCATTGTTGGGGGTGGGGCTGATAAGGGCCAATCACCTCCATCCACAGAATGTAATAATAATAGTAAAAAAAATATAGTAGACACTTACAGAATTCTGATCCTTCGAGTCTTGATTAGGATCACTACTTTCCACTAGATCAATAGTGAGAGTACGCTTAGGTTGAGTAGTATTACTGGGAGAATCAGGCCTATCATAAGTAGGAAGGTCTAGGGATGTCTGATCAATTTGCAGATTTGACATTAAATCCAACTGAGGTCGAAGATGGGCCTGGAGTATCTTCGAAGAGGCGGTTCACCAACTCTTGAGAACAAAACAACGGACGTTCCACTGAGAGAGTAACTTTTGCTCTAATATAATTCTGAACATCTGAAACGGATTGACTTGGGCCTAAACGCTCAAACAGACGACGACCTACATGAATGGAAAGGGTCTCAAAAGGGAGATCATGAAATGACCTCGATGGAACGGAGCCATAAGAAGACTGCTTGAATCCAGATTCCATAAGTCGTAGAGGCCTTGGACTACCTCGTCAAACTGATCCATAAGACGAAGGAACAGTCGACAGATGAGAGAGAGCTGCCAGTTTTCTACTACATCAGGGGGGAGGGGGGATCAGAGGATGGATATTTACTATGTCAATACCATTGCTACCTTGACCTTGAAGCATCTGCTGGAATGCTTCATTCAGGGCATCAACGTTATCCATGGATTGAAAGAAGAAGGGAGTGCTAAAGGTACTGAGAGAAGATTGAAGAAGGGTTAAAAGTAGAGCAGGCACTAAGTCTGGAAGATAGGAAGGGCGGAGATCAGAAGAGAAGGAGAAACAAGGTCAGTAAAAAGGGATTTAAAGGATGTCGTCAGAAGAAGAGAAGTTGAGGTGACAACCAAAGCCTCCCATCCAGAGCTAAAATCAATGACTAGATAACCAAAATATAACAATTTGGTTGAGATCTAACAAGAAATCAGAAGAAAAGATTGTACCAAGGAAATTTACAAACCAAGTTTGTTGCTTAAAAACATAAAGCTCAACAACCGAACAAGTGTCATAAATTCGCAGTAAATGTTCGACAAATCATCAAAGAAAGTAGAAGGTAGGAATACTTCTTGTATTTCAGGCATCAGGCATGCAAGCGAAAGACGTGAAACGCGTTCATCACCGGTGGAGTCATCAACAGATTGAGTTGTATCTGCAACTAGGTTTTCAAAACCTTATTTAATAGAACCTGACGATTACATCACGACTTCTCGTACCAATAATCCTTGCTTGAACAGCTTGAGTTCACCATGATCTTTGCTCTCTCTCTGCTTTGGTGCTGTCTGGAAAGGTCACCCTATATCACCATTGAAGCTCACAGTGCTTTTGCTGCATATTTCATAGATTACTTGCTCCATCCACATGACCAAAGAGAGGAAGTTACAGTCTACGGCAGCGGCAAAGCCAAGGGTATAGACTTCCTACAGACCATGTAACGTAGAGAGGTAAGTTAATGGCACTGATGAGAAAACGGTCGATGCATTATGTTTCTTCAATCCTCAAATGGACTATGACACCCATGTCAATATCTTCTTCGGAGGTGATGATGGCATAAGAAGTCAGGTGATCATTTCCACCGGTTATGAATTATAGGGTAGTTTAATGATAAAAGGCAAACTAAAAGATAGGTTTTAATAAATATGTTAAATTATAAGGACTGTATAAGCAAATAACTGTTTTTCTTTTTGATAGAACAAAACTTGATCACTGAATATTTCTTCATTCGCTGCAGTAATGGCACTTCCCTCTTCACTCGCGTTGTCCCTTTCTTCAACCTCAACACCACCACCAAGTTCCGTTCAGTCAAGCCTTCCAGTACTCTCCCATTCCACACGCGTCGCTAATTCTTCTCAGCTTCAACTCCGTCGACTCAGGCTAACCCAAAGCAGAAAACCCCGTCATCTAATCAAGGCAATTGAAGAAGGGCAACAACAAGATAATGAATCTGCAACAGAGTCCACACAACAAGATTCCACATCCGAAACAGAAACCACGGCGAATTCTGACACAGTTAGTCTGTCTGAATTGGGTTCTGAGATCAAAGAAGCAATGAAAACAAGGAAAGAGAGAGAAGAAAGCAGCGGAGGAGGAGACCTGTGGAGCGGAGTAGCAGAGGAGGTCAGGGAGATCGAATGGCCGGTGTTTGGAAAGGTCTTGGGTACTACCGGCGTCGTTTTGGGCGTCATCGCTGGGTCTAGTGTTGTGTTGCTCACCGTGAATGCTGTCTTGGCTGAACTCTCCGATCGTATCTTCTCCGGAAAGGGTGTTCAGGATTTCTTCAGTTAGTTGCTTAATTGTAGAAATTTGAATAATATTCCAAAAAATCAAAAAGGTTGATAATGTTTTCCGCTACGTCCATCTCGTTTCTATATTTCTTGCTTGCAATTTCCTTCGCATCTGATAAAAGATGGCTTTCCTTGCAACCTTTTTGAATTGCTAATTCTACAATTAATGAAAACCTTATTCAGTGGAATTAGTTGATTAGTTCAGTTTTCAGTGCAACTTTAAAACCATACTTCTGTTAGAACCTTGGCTGTATTGGAAACTGCTGATGATATTCTTCAGGGTCACTTTTTGGAACAATGGTTGTTATCCCAATGTGTTCTCTATATTTATAAACAGTTTAGTTACTTTTTTTGGTAAACAAATAATTTTGTTACTTAAGACATTGATGTTAGGTTCTTTTAATACAGAAAATAAGAAGATAGGAAAACGTTTAGTCAAACAAACGTTGCTTGATGTTTCCTAAACAATTATCCATCAAAAAAGAAAAAAAAACTAAACAACTTGACTATATATTCGCCGTGCTTCTTCCTAGTAAAATGATCTATCACCCTATTATTAGAAAACAATTTTTATCAGTTTGTTTTTTTTGGAATATTTGAAAAGTTGTATTTTTTTTTGGGATAAAAATTAACATAATTTTATTAAGGAACAAAACAAAAACCTGAACTACCCAATTAGGCGCTGAGCAAAAAAAAAAAAAAAACTGCCCAATTAGGCTGTAGGTACTGTGCATTTGATAAGTTGTATTTTTTTTTGATTGGTGATAACTTTTATGTGCATTTTAAAATTTATTTTGTTCATGGGCACGTTTGCAGTTATTTGCACTGGTACCTGCACCAGCATGTTGTGTACTAGCTATTTTTCTCTTCAGGTGAAGTTACACAAATGTCATATCAGCCAAAGATATGCCATAGATTGAGAAATTATTTCAGATCTGATGGAGATCCAGAGAATATTTTAGATTTATTTCTTGGTTTAGTTACATTTGATTAAGAAGATATGTTGTAAATCTCAAAAAGATTGAGTGTTCATCTATATATATCATTGTAAAGACTGTTTTGAGATGATGAATGAACAGATTTTGAATTTCCCTTGCAAGTATTATGGTTTGGTGCTGACTCCTAGAGGAACCTAATGGTGTGATTCCATTGGGACCTCTCTATAGTTTACTGCAATTAGCTTAGTTCTTGTTTGAATGTTGATCTGTTAAATCTTGTATGTTTTTTATTGTTCTTATGTTCTTGCATTCTTGGTTATCTCCTTAACTTCTATATGCCCCTTACCCTCCCCTAAATATTTCCTTTCTTTCCTTAGCATTTTCTTTGCTACTGAATCTCTGCAGTTATTTCTAACTAATACAGCAGACATCCTTATCAATTCTGTTTTTTTCCCCAAGCCTTAGGTACCATTTGATCTCAATTTCACCCCATTTTCAATTCGGCTTCTTTATGGCCTGGAAATTGACTAGAGTTTTCTTCCATGAAGGATCTAGAAGGAACCTTCTAAACATGTGTACATGAGGGAATATGTAGCAAGGATCTAGAATTCTTTATGACCATTAGGATGAGGGAAATCACCATCCTGATCTGTTTCCTAGATTTTTCTGTCTTCCTCCCCTAGGAATAGATGTATTCAATGAAGCTAGGCTAAGAGGTCCACAAGAATATCCTCTTCCAAATCATTATATGGAATCTAATGAGATTAGGTAGCTTGCTCATTGCCTGAATGAGATGGGGAAAATCCTCTTTCTTTCTCACATTTCAGAGAATCAGATTACCTGAATCCCTGGGAGCTTAATGCAATTGTTGATTGCCTTGCTAACGTGGTCTGGATGGGATTTTTTGAATGGCAACTGCTCTATGCCTACATAATCTTTTAATCTTTTGCTGTTGATAGCTGGAGATTCGAATTATATTTTGTATACTCCCATGCATCCTCACACATAAACCTGCATTTATTCAAATCTCTCTTTATTTATTGCCAAGAGAAGTAGAGAACAAACCAACTTTCTGAGACTTATGTTTTTTTTTTCATATCTGTGTTCTCAATCTAATTCTTAATAGCACTTATGATTCATTTCTCCTCAAGGGAAAGGGGGACCTATTCTGTGTAGTTCAGCACTCACTTAAACTAGACAGCTTCTAGGGTAATCCTAGTCAATGTGATTGAAATATTAATAGATTGGATCAGCATTACCAAATTACCAGTTAATTCATTTATTTACCAACTGATTGTAGCGGAGACTTGGGATCAAATCCAGCTGTCATGGGGGAGGGGGTTATGGGGGCTACCCCCCAACCCCCATTGTGTAGCCCATGAAGCAAAACAAAAAAGTTAATTCATATATTTTGGACGAGTTTTACCTATATATTCTGGACAAGTTTTACTTTGCTTTGGTAGACTAACTTTGATGTGGAAAAGTTTCAATAAAGGACCTTCATATTGCCAAAGAAGATCTGAACTCTTGCATCCTATTGTGACTACACAATTGCTGTATATGGAAAAGACATTGGCAATTTTAAACGTTCTCATCAGGTTTGTTGCTTATATGCTTTGTTTCTAGAGGTTTCTTTCTTTATAGGAGATGACATGCTAAAATATTTTTTCCTTTCATAATTATGGAAAATTATATAAAGGGAAAGGGGTGATGCCCCAAAGAAATGAAATATGATGCACATGGGCTGTCCCCCCCAAGTTCCTAAATAGGGAATCACAAGAACTTGTAACCCATAATTGCACTTGGTCCAAGTTTGTTCAAAGGTTCTAGTATCTTATTTTCTTAAAGACTACATAGTCAACTTTGGTTAAAAGTCCTCTTTCAAGACTGTTGTTAGAAACCATTGGGAGAGTGGAGTACTGGACCAGAGGTATTATTGTAATTTTCTCATTAGTTCTATTATGAATAAAATTAAGAAGGATAGGCATGTGACCTATTCTCTTCCTTGCTCTGTTCTACATCTCTTCTCCTTGCAGACATTGCCAAGATTCACAACTTGGTATTAGAGCCATTAATAGAAATAAGTGATTGATTGCATAGTATTATTGCTGATGTCGTCATGATGTCTAGGTGACATCAACTTCTGTATGGATGTGAACCCTTGAGCAGGATGGATTCAATAGTTTCTTATGAGACCATTTATGAAATCTAGGAATGATTTTTCCAGGATTTTGATTCCAATTCCGATTCCGGATGTGAACCAAACGGACCTTAGAATACCATCATGAAAAAATCTTAGAAGTCAATTGCATAACATATTCAAGAATTTTGTGAAATTAAAATTGGGTGCACCAATTTTTAAGTATGCTTTTATATTCTTCATGGCCTTAAATTGGTAGGCAAAGCAGGTTCTTGATTTATCATGTGTTGGAATCCTCCCTTTTCTTCTCTGTGTTGCCTATGGTTGCAGAGTTTATCAGTTGAGTACCTTGCTTGGTTATTCTGTAGAGTGGAGAAGGCTAAGGGAGGTATTTGCCATTGGGTTATAAGCTTCTAGGTAATGGCTATTCTTGTTCTTTAGGGAGGCTTCTTTTTGTCCTGCAGGGAGTATTTTCTGGATTTTTGGGATATCTTTGTGCATCCTTTTTAAGGGGGTGGTCATAGATATAATTGTGCTTCTTTCCTCTTTGACTTAGCACCTCTTTGCTACTCTTGATATTTAACGAAGCTACAATGTCTATTAGAAATATATTGAAAAGTTTAATTATTGACCTTTCTTAGAAAAGTAAGAATACTATAAGTTAGGTTTGGTAATAAAAATAAAGAGGTCTACATAGTTTGCCTATATTTAAGAACAAAGGCGATATGCAAAATTGTAATAACTACTGTGGGACTACACTTGTCAAAAAAAAAAATTGTGGGATTAAATTCACGAGCTACACTAAGAAACTTTGGGAGAGAATAATTGAGCAAGGGTTACGACATGAAACGGGTATGGTAGAGAATCAATTTGGGTATATGTTAGGGAGATCAACCATGGAAACCATTTCTTTTGAGACGATTGAATAGAAAAATTTAGAGAGAACAAGAGATTTTCATCTAGTGTTCATTTATCTACAGAAAGCATATGATAGAGTCCCAAGAGAGATAATATGGTGGGTCTTGGTAAAGAGAGGGGTTCCAAATAGTACACAGACCTAATTAAGGATATGTATGAGGGTGCAACAACCAATGTTAGAACACCTGTAGGAGAGACATCAGATTTTACACTTATGATGGATATTCACCAAGGTTCTAATCTTGTTTATGGCCTCTTTCTTTTTTTTTTTGATAAATTAAATCATTTCCATTAAAATAATGATTAGATACAAGAAAATCCCCTTAGAGGCGCGAGGTGCAGCCTCTCCGAACAGCAAATACACAGACTACAACAAAGAATACATGAATGTTGATGTTAAAACAAGAGTTACAGTTGTGCTCAGAACAATGTTTCCCTATTTATCCCTTGTTTTGCCAAGACATCGGCAAAAGCATTAGCTGATCTCCCAACCCACTATACTGTTATAGACATATTTCTTGTCAGCCATTTGAATTTCTTTAGCTCATTTTTGTAGCCCCAAGTGACATCCTCCGGATTATTTAACCAGTCCACCACTGTCTTAGAGTCTCCTTCAATTAGAAGCTGCTCCACGCCCACTTCTTTTGCAAGAAGTATTCCTTGTATTGCATCTAACAGTTCTGCTTGAATAGAGTTCTGAACACCTAAAGGGCCAGAGTAGAGTAAGACAACCTCTCTAGCCTCATTCCTCAGTACACCTCCCATCCCAGAGGGACCCGGGTTACCCTGGCTACTCCCATCAAAATTCAGCTTCAAAGAACCAAGAGGAGGGGGGACCCATCTAGTCAATACCCTTACCTTGTAGGAGGAACAGCTTGCTACCAAGTTTCAATCCTTCCAACAATTAGTAAAAGAGAAATGGTTAAATAATTCTAGAGTCTTTAACCAATGTATTGACTTGGACATAATGCAGTCCTTTAAAGCTTGACTGCTTCTTCCTTTTTCTTGGAAGATTCTGGCATTCCTTTCTTCCCATACTGTCCATAACAATGCTGCTCGCGAGCATCTCCACATTTTCCTTCCTCTTTTATGGGGCCAAGAGAAAAAAGAAGGGTTAAAGATTGTGCTTACTTCTGCTGGCATATCCCAACTATACCCAAACAAAGATAGAAGCCAAACCCAGAGCTCTGCAGTTACACTA